TTTTTTTTTTTTTTTAACGAACGTTTAAGAAAATTATTTGTAGCCTGCTTAGCTGATGGTTATTTGAAGTGTTTCATTGGTATATTATTTTCTTCTAACTATCTAAATTTAACTATTTTAGATCCAGGTAGATTCCAAGACAGTTGGAGGCTTTCAGATGGTTTTGTAGCAGCTGAGGCAAAAACTATTCTTCCTCATCGTGCCAGATCCAGGTAGACCTTAGATATAGAAATAGTTCACACTTATTACAATTACTATTTTTATGTTAAATTTTGTAGTGTATGGAACAATATTTAAATTTTTCTGTGCCGTGCTTATTTCCAGGCCAGACCTCATGGATAATTATTTGGCACTGATACTATCAGCATTTATTCGTAATGGGCTTTTAGAGGTAAGAGTTATAAACCTTATTTTATTTTATTTTCTCTAACAGAATTCTTTCAGAGCAACAAACATATATGATGCGTAATTGTATTCATATATAATATTTTGCAACTATGATATTTTCTTGTTATTTTCAAAGGGTTTGGTTGAGGTGATAACAAACAGCGATGACCATATCTCAGTGAGAGCTACCATCCTTTTAGGAGAGCTTTTACATATGGTAAGTTTAACAACTTCTGATTATGTTTCATACTATTAATGTTTTAATTTATGAAACAGGCTATTTTAACGATGTTACTTTGCATTATCTCAAAAAAATAAGTTTGCATTTATTTGAATGTTTATCTTTGCATTACAAAGAACCCTTGATACTTTGTATCTTATATATAGAGGCTAGATTTTTAAATGGAACAAATATAAAAAATACAGAGAACTGAATATTGCCTTTTTATACTCACTTTTGATGCTGACATTTTGAGTCCTAAAAGTCTTTCTCTTAGAATGACTTCCTACCTAAAAAGCATGAAATTACAAAACTATAGGTATTACTTCAGTCAGCTAAATAGAATTGATATATAATAGTCAGTGCCTGAATTTTAGAAAACTTTGTGGAAAAAAATCTAAATATAACTGCCTCATTAGAACACATACTTCTCTGTAAACTTGTAGGTTTAGGTTTAGAGGGTGGGAATCTTTTTTTGGCCACGATTTTATGACATCAGTAACTTCTGGAAACAAGGAGCTAGCAAAGTAATCTGATCATTCTCTACTCCCAGCAGATCAAGCAGTGAGGGTACTCTGATTATTTGCAAATTAGAAATTTATATTTCTGTCACCAATTAGTTAATAAACACTAAATAAAAAGAACCACTTTAAACTCATTAAGTAAACTTATGGCAAATCTTTTAAAATTATGTTATGGTTTATTATTGGCAGAATATTTTTTGTTTTTGTCGTTGTTTTTGGTCCCCTCCATCACCAGGGTTTTTTTTCTACATAGCAGTTGGGCTTTGTGAGTGAGCAAAAGAGAATTAAACAGAGTTTAATGGTAACTGTCTTGTTTATCAGTGAATTATTTAGCCACTTGCTCTGTTTTCCTTCAGTCTGTCTATGAGATAATTAAGTAATATTGCAGAATCTCAGGTGTGATTATTTTTATTTTAATTAAGATATCATTTCTGTAAGGATATCAATATCTAGAATTATTTGCCTTTGTGTGAAGGAATCTCTTTAATAAATTTCATCCATTCCCTTCCCCCATACACCAGAATTCTGTGATTCCCTTGAAATATAAAAGCTAGTCAGTTTGAGTATAGCAGTGTTAGTTCATCGCTTGTTATTCTTACATCTTCTGGCTTCCACATTTAATTAATTTATCTTTATTGGTAGAAAGCAGATTGGGTGGTAGGACTTCATTTGGAAAGCAGAAGACAAGTTTCTTATTTAAAGATTGTTGGACTATGAGACAAACCTGTTTTGAGAAGGTGGTTTTTAAACCTAAGAAGTCAACTCATAAGTTAGGATATTGCATCCAGCATTTTAAATGCTACTTTTTTTTTTTTTTTTTTTTTTTGCGGTACACGGGCCTCTCACTGCTGTGGCCTCTCCTGTTGCGGAGCACAGGCTCCGGACGCGCAGGCTCAGCGGCCATGGCTCACGGGCCCAGCCGCTCCGCGGCATGTGGGATCTTCCCGGACCGGGGCACGAACCCGTGTCCCCTGCATCGGCAGGCGGACTCTCAACCACTGCGCCACCAGGGACGCCCTAAATGCTACTTTTAACATAACATTATAACACTGGATCCAAGTTTTGACATATAGTCCTTTTAGATTATTTAAGAAGTGAGTTTAATTGGGTACCACTTAAAATTATAATTTAATGTTATAAGAAAGGATGTATGAAATTTAGAGTTCTATTAACGTAATATGAGCCTGTATCTTTATATTTGTGATAGCTCATCCTTGTTGAAAGTAGATGAGATAAAAGTTAGCTATAAGTATATATTAGAAAATGAATAATTCATGAGTAAAACCTTTTAGCATTATATCTGTGGATAATCTGTAACATAAAATAATCAATTTTTCAAAAATATTATGGTTCATTTTAGGCAAACACAATTCTTCCTCATTCACATAGCCATCATTTGCACTGCCTGCCAACCCTAATGAATATGGCTGCATCCTTTGATATCCCTAAGGAAAAGAGACTGTAAGTATCAGAGCTCTAGCAAAGCTTGTGCCTGTATATTTAATACCCACTTAGATGACCTTATATTCTTTATAAGGAAGCAGTATATATAGGTTATGTCTGGGAATTATTTAGGGAAGCCTTTGGATAAGAGGAAAATTAACAGTTTTTAAAAATAATTTGTATTTTAGGCTACAGAGTATTTTAGTTTAGTAAAATCAACCTTTTCTAGCATGTTTCTGGACAAGGACGTAAACTTTCTACCACATCAGTAAAAATATTGGGATTGAGAGTTTTTTGGACTGTTTTATGTTTTGAGCAACAGTTCAGTCTCTTTTTCAATGTCTGAATTATTTCAAATTAAAGCACAAAGACTAACAGTGTATTCTTTTGTATGTGTGGTTAAAAATGTTGGAAAAAGAAAGTTGGAATTTATATATTTAGGCTTCATTGTTTTTTTTGTAATGTTTTGAAATGTAGTTCATTAGCTATTCAGAACTAGGAATTTTTAAGTTATAATACATTTCTCAAAAGTTTAGTTAGCTTTATTAATTCAAAAGTACACATAAGGGCCTCACTATAAATAAATAATACTCTTTTTATTAGCTTTAAATCTGTCAGTGAAAATACTATTATTTAACAGACTGAAGTTGTATTATAAACTGAGGGCATTAAGGACCATCAGTTCTGACTCTTAAGCTAACATCGGTAGTGGTGGCATTCAACTTTTATTTTAGTAGTTTCTTGATGGGAAAATGTACTATCCCAAAGCCTGGTAGACCTGAACTCTCTGGGTCAGATTATGGCCATGGTATTTAGTGTTCATCAGGAATTCAAATTTACCTTCAAAATTCCAGTAATAATCTAAGAATGATTTTTTTAGCTCGGTAAGCTGTTTACTGACAAGTACTTGCTAATCTGGACACATCCTAAGGTTTTTAAATTTTAAATCTGATTTGTATTTACCAGAATTTCTTGACACTTGATCGCTACCAAATTCTAGAAAACTGTATTTTATGCACCACAAAAAGGGAATTTGAAATAATTTCTAGGGACTTCCTGGTGGCACAGTGGTTAAGAATCCACCTGCCAATGCAGGAGACACGGGTTCGATCCCTGGTCCGGGAAGATCCCACATGCCACGGAGCAACTAAGCCCATGCACTTCGACTACTGAGCCTGCTCTCTAGAGCCCAGAAGCCACAACTACTCAGCCCGCATGCTGCAACTACTGAAGCCCGTGCACTTAGAGCCCATGCTCTAACGGAAGCCGCAGCAGTAAGAGGCCTGTGCACCATAATGAGCAGTAGCCCTCACTCACCGCAACTAGAGAAAGCCCGTGCACAGCAACGAAGACCCAACACAGCCAAAATAAATAAATAATTAATTTTCAAAATAAAATAATTTTTAAAAGGATCCCATTTACAGTTGCAGATTAGTGGGGAAAATACAGACTGTTCAGTTGATACTGGAATCATTGGTTATCCAACCTCATATCACAAACAAAAATCAATTTCATATGGATTAAGGACTTAAATGTGAAAAGCAGAGTTTTAAAACTTTAATAAGAAAGTAAGGTCACTAGGTTCTGACCTTGAGGAAGGAGTTCTTAAAACTAACATACCAAAAGTACCCACCACCATAGAAGAAAAGATTAGTAAGTATGTTTCATTGAATCTAAATAATTAGTGTTTCTTCATACAAATCAGCAGTGTTCTTGTTTTTTTTCTTTGTGGTTCCAAATTTGGTTAAATAATTTACTTTTTAGTAACACTCTCTAGCATAGATTTATGTAAGTTTTAATAGAATAATTTACCAAAGTGGTCTCTTTAAAATTACGCTAGCCTTGTATTAATTGTACTAATTTTTTTCTCATTAGGCGAGCCAGTGCAGCCTTGAACTGTTTAAAACGCTTCCATGAAATGAAGAAACGAGGACCTAAGCCTTATAGCCTTCATTTAGATCACATTATTCAGAAAGCAATTGCAACACACCAGAAACGGGATCAATATCTCCGAGTTCAGAAAGATATATTTGTTCTTAAGGTACTGATGTGAAGATGCAATTTTCAATTTAATTTCCTAATCCTTAACCACTGTATTTTAGTAGGCATACATGCTTGAGTTTGCAGTTTTATTCATGCATATGGATTTTCAGAAGGCTTCTAAGTTTTATAATGACTAGGCAGTGGAGCTGAGTTTTTATAACTTTTTCAAGTTACAAAATCTTGATAATCTTCCTTAAATGAAAAACCTTTCATTTTGTTTTTAATATTTGAAGTTAGTTTTTTGACGTGAGGCCAATTTGTCTTAATTTTTCATATTACTTTCTGGTGATTTTAGGATACAGAGGAAGCTCTTTTAATGAACCTTAGAGATAGCCAAGTCCTTCAACATAAAGAGAATCTTGAATGGAATTGGAATCTTATAGGGACCATTCTTAAGGTATGATAGGATACTTCTTGGTGATGGCTTGATTGTTTTCATTTTCTTATTCATTGTACTTCATCATAATTATATGTTTAGGAATTGATAAATACATAATATAACGTATTATGTTTTTCTAGTGGCCAAATGTAAATCTAAGAAACTATAAAGATGAACAGTTGCACAGGTATGTAAGAACTGTTTTGCATTTAAAGAACTTAGATTTGAATTATATTATGCCTGATACCTACTAAAAGTAATAATTGATGTTTTAAAGATACATACATACATTTTAATAGTTGGTATTCAGTAGGTACATATATATTTTTTTTATACATAGTTTGTATTTTACAACCAAAAAGCATCAGTGAATTCTTTTTCTGGTTATTTACATTCTGGTTTTAGTTTTGGAACAAATGAAATACTTGAGATTAAAGTTTCTCAAATCGAGGAATATCAGCCATGTACTTATCTTAGCCCTAATGTATGAGAATGACATAAGGGCATAGTGTTTCCCTTTCAAAATGATGGCCATTTAAAATATTCCAATTCTACTTTCTTTTGAATCTGACTTTGAAGGGTTATTCATTCTTCTTCGTTTTTACACTCCTTGTAACCAACCACACCTTCCATAAAACATGCTAATGTTTATAGCATATACAGTACCTCAGGGTATTGTGCTCTTTTCTAGTACCCCATGCATTTTTACTCCTTCTGAGTTTAGACTAACCAACCACCAGTGTTGATCTCATTGGATAAGAGGGGCTTTACTTCATGTTTTTGAGAAGTTCATATCATTGACATTATAATTGATTGAATTCATCTACTCAGTGATATTTAACTTAATATCTGTATTAAGTTTTGAGAAATATATAGAACATAAGAATTACATTGGGGTAAAGAAGCATTAGCACTAACTTTTCAGACTCCTTGAGAACAGAGGTGACGTCTCATTCAACTTTGTTTCTCCAACTCCTGGATCTGGCACCTTTATTAGATTGGATTGTAGTGCTCGAAATTAAATTGAACTAAATTCCATGGAAGCTTAGAACATAATGTTGAAAATTATAACATTGAAATATCATCCATTGCTTTATAAATTCAGTTGCTTAAATTTTACCTGGAACTTTTATGGTTGACTTTTTTGCCTAATTGTGAAAAACTGATAAAATCATAGTGTGGTAACATTTGCTTACAGTTATCTAGTATAAGATTATTTTATAGAGCCATGGGACAAAGTTCTTGATAAAGTACAGTAGAAAAGAATTTATATATTCTGGATTAAAAGAGAGTTGAAAAGAAAAAAAGACCTGATAGTAAAATAAAATGTGTGCATTTCAAAAGAAAAAAAAAAAGAATGAAAATTTATATCCAGGTGCCTTCCTCATATTTCTCCAACTGTATCTTCTAGCTATGTTATATCTGCATTTTTCCTGCTAGCATCTTTCTTCTCCACTATTTCTGTCAGGCATCTCACCATAAAATTCTTATTTCACAAAGATTTTTTTATAATGAAGGGGATTTTTTGTTTTTTATGGTTGGTTTGTGTGTGGAATGTACCAAATGTGTTTATTAAATTTCTTGCCATTTAGCTCAATGGTTTAAACCCAAAACATATTCAAAACCTTATTATATCATAAGTTGTGGTTAAGATTCTAAAAGAATTATTTGGTTTATTACTTTGTTGCTGATTTTTTATTTTGATCTTAGGTTTGTACGAAGACTACTTTATTTTTACAAACCCAGCAGTAAATTATATGCCAATCTGGATCTGGATTTTGCCAAGTCCAAGCAGCTCACAGTTGTAGGTTGCCAGTTTACAGAGTTTCTTCTTGAGTCTGAAGAGGTAATAAGCACTTTGTATATTTTCCAGAGTAAACGTTTTTCACTGAATTTGCCCCCTTCCTTTTATTTCTGAAGAGGCATAAGCTATATTTAGAAACATCGAGAATGAGACCAAACCTAGATTTTTATCCTGACTTAGTCACTAGCTATTTATGTGACTTTGGACAATTAATTTGCCTTCTAGAAGACCTGGTTTTCTCCTTGTAAGATGGAAAATAATACCATCTCATGTAGCACTGTGTTGAATGGGATTAAAAACAACAGATACTCAGTGATTGATATCTGTTATTAGTAACTTCATCATTATCAGTAAATTTTTTGGACTTTATTAGAGTTGATTTTTCTAATTGTAGGCACTAAGTCCTTTTCTAGCAGTATCATAATGTATTTGCTTTCAGGATGGGCAAGGATACTTAGAAGATCTAGTAAAGGATATTGTTCAGTGGCTCAATGCCTCATCTGGCATGAAACCTGAAAGAAGTCTTCAAAATAATGGTTTATTGACTACTCTTAGTCAACACTACTTTTTATTTATTGGAACACTTTCTTGCCACCCTCATGGAGTCAAAATGCTGGAAAAATGCAGTGTGTTTCAATGGTGAGCATTCCTAAATTCTGTTTCAGTATATACCTAAACTATTTTTAATGTGATCAGAAAGGGCATGCTTTTTAGTCTGTGTACCTGTGTTTGGTAAGTTTTTATTAAAATACAAAAAATATTTAATTAGAGCTGTCTTGATGCTCTACTCCGATGCTTTTTTTTAAAATGTGATATTTATTAAGTGCTTTCTTTTAGAAATGCTTGTTTATTAGGAATTTAAAAATATTTGTTGAATTGATGAATCAATACAGTAATTTCTAGTAACCTTCATTATTTTCAATCCTTATTTTAGTTTACTTAACCTTTGCTCCTTGAAAAACCAAGATCACTTGCTGAAACTGACTGTTTCGAGCTTGGACTATAGCAGAGATGGATTGGCTAGGGTCATACTTTCCAAAATCTTAACAGCAGCCACTGATGTGAGTATAACATAGGCAATAAAACTATATATTTCATAACCAGTTAATTCAGTATTTTATAAATTTTGGCCTAATAAAACTAATTATAAATTCTAAGACTATGGGATGGAATTTTAGTTTACTTTAAAATTTTAGTTCCTCCAAAGAACTCGATACAGTACACATATTTTTATATAAAGGGAAAGAAGCAGCTAGATTGAAACAGAAGTATTTTACTTTACTTGGAGTAAAAAAATATTCATATGAAGGGCTAGACCATCAATTCCAGTCTTTCTGCCCTTTTCAAGTAGCAGAACTGTCCCAAAACAAAGTCGAATAGACTGTCCATAGTGAAGTTTGGGTGGTGGTTTTTTTCTTGCTTTTTTTTTTTTTAATGTTCTTATTTATCTTTATAGGCCTGCAGGCTGTATGCAACAAAACATTTAAGAGTATTATTGAGAGCTAATGTTGAATTCTTCAATAATTGGGGAATTGAATTACTAGTGACCCAACTGCATGATAAAAACAAAACGATTTCTTCTGAAGCTCTTGATATTCTCGATGAAGCATGTGAAGACAAGGTAAAGTTTCATTATTTTATAATAAAACCCTTAGACATGAATTTTTATTAAAACGTTCAAATTTGATAGAAAATTATGTGAAATTATAATGTATATAATATAGTGGTTTTAGAAATAGAGAATTTACTACCTTCATGCAGTTATTAATTTGCCTAATAATTATTTCTTTTAGGCCAATCTCCATGCTCTTATTCAGATGAAGCCAGCTTTATCTCACCTTGGGGACAAGGGTTTGCTTCTCCTCCTGAGGTAAATTTGAAGAAAATTTTTCTTATAGTTATGTTTTCTGTTGTGTTCTCTCTGGCAGTGTGTATTAAAGCTGTATTCAAATCTGTAAAGGAAGCACTCTAAAGAGTTTAGCTGTTAACTTCTGAAAGAGGCCTATTTTAGAATATTGGACATCCTTTAATACTGAAACTCTGTCTTTTCATTGTTTTTCTTAATGTTTCTTTTACATTTCCATGTGTCCTCATTCTTTTCATGACATTTTCTTTACTGTGGTTGGATTCATGTGTTTTTGCAAAGATTATGAAAATTTATTTGTATTTGAAATTACAATGAATAAAAATTGACCTTTTAGTTTTAGGAAGGAGCTGTTCTTAAAGTCTTTTACCTCCTTAAACATATTTTGTTTGAGATGTTTTAGCTCCTTAAACATTTTTTGTGAGACTTAATGTTAAACTATTGCCTGTTTTAATTTACAGATTTCTCTCCATTCCAAAAGGGTTTTCCTATTTGAATGAAAGGGGTTATGTAGCAAAACAGTTGGAAAAGTGGCACAAGGTAACTTGCTATTGAATAAGTTTCAATTTGTATCTTTTTATCTTGGGAAATAGATTGTGAATTTAGAGGATTTTTAAAATATTGTCAGTATTTTGAAACTAAAAAAGTTAAATATTTAAACATTCATGTGAAGTCAAGTCTTAAAATTCTGTATAATTATTTGTATTTATATTTGTCCACTTTTTAAACTATAGTTATTTTAGAGAGAACTATTGATTTTGTGTAAATTCTGTTGAAATTTTGCTTTCAATTTAATTGATATAATCTATTGGTATCATTTGTCAACCCTACTTACCATCATTTCTTTTATTCTTGGGTTCCTTTCACACCCCTTTTAAGCTGAAACTAAAACAATTTTCCTAAATGAAGATTAACAAACAGTTCTACCAAGCAGATATAATCATCTAATTAAACTTCATTTTAAGGTGTACTTTTCATAAATCTGAGAGCAAACTTCTTGCTGTTGTATATAATAGGGAAATCTAGGAAGAAGGGAGTAGTTTGAAGGTATTAGTTAACTTCCTAGCTTTTCTTTAGGTGGTCATCACTGTGACTTCAGTTTCATTTGACGCATTGTAAATTGTCAAAGCATCTTAGAAACTCATGGATTAATCAATCCTAATGTAAATGATTTTCAGATTTTCCATTATTTCAGATCATTGTTTATATTGTCTATATTGAACCATGTTTCATAAGATATTCTCATTTTTAAAAAATACTATAGCTATAGTTATAGTTACCAGAGGTGGGGTGTGGGGAGAGAGGGAATTGGATGAAGGCAGTCAAATGATACAAACTTCCAGTTATAAATAAGTGCTAGGGATATAATGTACATAATAAATATAATTAACACAGCTGTATGTTATATATGAAAGTTGTCGAGAGAGTAAATCCTAGGAGTTCTTATCACAAGGGAAAATTTTTTTTTTATTTCTTTAATTTTGTATCTGTATGAGATGATGGATGTTCACTAAACTTATTTTGATGATCCTTTCACGATGTGTGTAAGTCACATCATTATGCTTTACTCCTTAGACTTATACCGTGCTGTATGTCAATTACATCTCAATAAAACTGGAAGAAAAAAAGGGAAGAAAATACTATAACTATAAAGTGTACAACTTCAGGCCTGAAGTCTTTCAGTAATTGGTGAATTAGAAAACTAAAATAAAGATGTGATAGTTTTGAACTTCCCTGGTGGTCCAGTGGTTAAGAATCCATCTGCCAATGCAGGGGACATGGGTTCGATCCCTGGTCCGTGAAGAACCCACATGCTGTGGGGCAACTAAGCCCGTGCGCCACAACTACTGAGCCCGCACGCCGCAACTACTGAAGCTTGTGCACTCTGGGGCCCGCGTGCTGCAACTACTGAAGCCTGCATGCCTAGAGCCTATCCTTCTCACCGTAATGAGAAGCCCCGCACACTGCAATGAAGAGTAGCCCCCGCTGGCCACAACTAGAGAAGGCCCACGTGCAGCAGTGAAGCTCAGTGCAGCCAAAAAAAAAAAAAAAAGAGATATGATAGTTTTATTTTCTAAATAGAAGATGTTTAAACTAGTTACCGTAATAAGATTGGTCACTTTATTATACAAATTATATTAGGAAATTGCTTAGCAAATCTGGTACAGCACTTTCAGATAGTAGGTACAAAATATTAACTGATATAACAAAATCATGTGTCGTGTATAAGGAAACAGAAGAAGGGTTAATGATTCTGCCTTAGGGATTAGCAAAAAAAAATGTTAGGCTGAGGAGAGGATGTGATATTTGAAGTGGTCTTGAGGAGTAAATAGTCAAATTGGAAGAAGGATGTTCAAGGATGAGGGGGCAGAACAATAAATCTGTATAGGTTATTGAAACTTCACAGACTTGTGAGGAAAGCCATATTCCAGTGCGGTTGGGGCTAGGATAAGTGGGGTGTGGCAAGATGAGGATGGAAAGGTGAATTAGAACTAGATTGAATTAGAATTAGAACTAGGCTTTTATAAGCCACATTATGTCGTACTAAGGGATTTCAATTTTGTAGGAAGTAGGGGGAATCTTTACAAGTGTAAAGAATATTCATAGTCAGAACTATACTTTAGAAAAAGATCACAGTGTAGTAGCAGAAGTATGGTCATCAAGGTAAAGAAATCTAGGAATACTGAGACCAGTTTAGAAGCAAAATTGATAAGAGCATGGACTTCAGTGGTGGTTAGGTTCCATAGTCAGGGACACATTTTCTGCACATTTTTGAAATAAGATGGACAGGATTTGTGAACTGATTGGATGTAATGAATGAGGGGTCCCACTTGACCCTTAAGGTTTCTGATTTGAATGACTGAATACATAATGGCTTACCATTAAAAGACTGTGATTACAAAAGGTGGTTTGCAGCAATGAGGATAATGAATTTTGAATAAGTTGAACTGGTATTGCCTGTTGTATGGCAAGTGAGAGTATCCAGAAAATATTTGGAAATGTGCATCTGGAGCTCAGATATGAGCTGAAGATAGAAGTTTGGGAGTTGTCAGTGAATAGTAGTTGAAATTTGAATTGAGTGAGATCACCAAGGAAAATGTAAAGAACAAAGAAATAAAACTGGAAATTGCTCCCTAGAGAACACTCTGCTTTTTTTTTTTTATCTTTATGCTTTCTTTAATATATAACTTTATTTATTTTTAAATTTTGGCTGCATTGGGTCTTCACTGTTGTGTGCAGCTTTTCTCTAGTTGCAGAGAGTGGGGGCTACTTTTCGTTGCAGTGCGCGGGCTTCTCATTGTGGCGGCTTCTCTTGTTGCGGAGCATGGGCTTTAGGTGTGTGGGCTTCAGTAGTTGTGGCACAGTTGCTCTGCGGCATGTGGGATCGTCCCAGACCGGGGCTCAAACTCGTGTCAGGTGGATTCTTAACCACTGTGCCACCAGGGAAGCCCGAACACTCTGCCTTCATGAGGAGAATAAAAGGACAGGGACATTGAGGAAAAAATTATCAGCATGGCTTCACTAAAGGATGCTTCAGGAAGGAGAGGCCAGTGGTATATATTCTTGAGAGAGGTCAGGTAAGGTGAACACTAGAAAAAAAGCCTGTTGAAGGTGACCAGTCATTGGTGAATTTTGCTAGAGCAATTTCAGTAACAAGTTATAAACAGATGCTGAATTGCAGTTAGTTAGGCAGTAAATGCGAGATGTAAAAATAAAGACAGTATAGTCTACTCTCTCAAATTAGAGAAAGGGAGAAAGGGAGGGGAACTAACTTAGTGATTGCCTACAGTTAAACTTAGTGCCTTTCAAGTATTACCTCACTTAATCCTCACAGCAACCCTGGGAAATGTTTTTGTATTATTTCTATGTTGTGAATGAAAATGTGGAAGCTAAGATGAGTAAACTAATTTATCCTAGGTCACAGAGCTTGAAAATAACAGAGCAGGGGCACTTTTTGATTCCAAAGCCCATGCTCTTTCCACTATATTTGATTTCCTCCCAGTAGCTTGCAGCATGCCAAGATGAAGTTGAGACTGTCGCTTTTTCTAGGTAATAAAGCATCCAGGCCTGAATAATATTGAAAATTCACTCATTCAATTTAAAACTTTCATCCCTAGCCCAGGCTTGCTATAGACTTAGAAACCTGCAATGGAGGGAGGATATGGTTCGTTTCATCACTCTGTTATTTATCTCCTCCCCATTTACCAGGTGCAAATTTGGAGCCTCTCCAGCTTTAGAGCAGGAGGAGGAGGGGGTACAGGGTCATGGACAGTTTTACCCAACTGATGCAACTGTTATCTGGGGTTGTTAGCTTTGAGCGGGGCAGATTTCAGATGTTGATTCTTTTACTCGAGGGTTATGTTCATGAATTCCTCGAAGACCTCATTCTGGGGATCTCTCATTTGCAGTTCCCTTGACTGGATCAATGGCTCCTCTGGCTGCCTACTTACAATACCTCCTAGTAGCTAGAGGTTCACCCTCATTTGGGGTCTTCTTGCTCCTCCAGTAGGTCCTTTTTGGGCAGAATCCTCAAGATGATCCACATCAGAAACTCAGTGCATTTCATAGCTATAAACCATACCCCTCAACTTTGCTAGTGTTCTCCACATGGATGCCACTGGTCAAAAGGCTAACCACGCAATACCATGTGAATGTAACTATTCCTGCATAAAGCTCAAAATACCTTCCTTAATTAGAATTTTTGTACTGAGATGTTCATGTATAGGGAGATTATGGTAGTATAGTATATAGAGTAATATAGTGGTTGTAGTAGCAGTAGTAGAAATTTGGTATGCTGATAATATAATTAAAATCTTGTATTACTTTTGCAAAGTAAAGAACCTAAAAGAAAAGCAGGAAAAGTAAGTTTTTAGAGTCTCTAAGTAGGGAGTTAAGGTAACCCACCAAATTTAAGTAGTCTAAAATGGTTTAAAATGAAAAATGTCTCCTTGCCCCCTTTTTCTATCTTTTCTGAAGATAATGTCTGTTAATATTTTGTATGCTCTGAAAGATGTTTTATACATCTATAAGTATATATTCTTCATATAAAAATACAAATGAATCCATTCACAGCTGTAAATAAAATTGTATTTAATTTTTTTGTTTAGCAGTGTATCTAAGAGATCTTTTCAGAGCTATGCATTTAGAGCTGTCTAATTCTCTTTAATGGCTGCATAGTAAATTATAGCAATGTACCCTAATTTTTATAATCACACCTGTATTATGGGCATTTAGACTGTTTCCAACTTTTTTAGTTTTGTAAACAGTGTTTGCTGGATATTCTTGCATGTATATCTTTGCATACTTGTGCAGGTATATCTTTTGAACAAATTTCTAAAGTATAATTGTTGAGTCAAAAAGTATGTGAATGTAAAGTTTTGATAAATACTGCCAAATTGCTTTTCAGAGTTTCTACCAATTCCTTCTAAACAGTTTAAAGTGGAGATCTTTGCAATAAAGATGGTGGTGTGATTGACTGTCTCGGTTTAAAGAATTTAACTAGAAAATTTCCAAGTTTTAGTTGGAAATATTTTTTACATTTGACCTGATTTAAAGGGAGAGAGATTGTTTCTTACCAAACGGTGCTAAAATGGTAGAACTCAGTTAATTTCCTTTTAAAATTTCTAGTGAATATCTTCAGGGTTTAATATTAAGAAGCTAGTTTTGGGACTTCCCTGGTGGCACAGTGGTTAAGAATCTGCCTGCCAATGCAGGGGACACGGGTTTGAGCCCTGGTCCGGGAATATTCCACATGTCGCGGAGCAGCTAAGCCCGTGCACCACAACTGCTGAGCCTGTGCTTTAGAGCCTGTGAGCCACAACTACTGAGGCTGCATGTCACACCTACCGAGGCCGCATGCCACAACTACGGAAGCCCTCACACCTAGAGCCCTTGTTCTGCAACAAGAGAAGCCACGGCAATGAGAAGCCCGCGCACTGCAACGAAGAGTAGTCCCCACTCGCCACAACTAGAGAAAGCCTGTGCACAGCAACGAAAACCCAACACAGCCAAAAATAAATAAACAAATAAATAAAAAGCTGTTCTTTTTTTTTTTTAATGGGGACAGGAATTCAAATATGACAAAAAAATTTTTAGCTTACTTGTATGGACCCTAAAATATTAATTGAAAATGAGGAAAAGCGTATAAGCAGAAAGCTTATAGGTATGGATGTGATAGAACATTTGCATTCATAATACCTTGTTCTATCTACTCTTTTCAAAAATTTCTTAAATTTCCTGAACAGATGTTCATTTTTCTCATATTTATGCTTCCAAAGATTTGTTAGGTACCTAACATATTAGAAATTTAGTGAATGTTGTTATGATATATATAATTAAAACAATATTATCTTCTAGGAATATAATTCAAAATATGTTGACTTGATTGAAGAACAACTTAATGAAGCACTTACTACTTACCGAAAGCCAATTGATGGTGACAACTATGTTCGTCGGAGTAACCAAAGGTATATAGTCCAGTTAATGGAATAATTTATTGCTAGTCCTCAAACATAAAATTTAAAACCAAATTATTGTAAATCATTACTTTTTAAAGTTTTCTGAGTTGTTATTTTGTTTCTTACACTGACATAGGAAAAGTCTTTTTAAAGCACAGCATTGAATGTTCAAAAATTCAGTGGCATTCATAACTTGAATACCCTGACTAATATAGCATAGTGTTCAGATCCCTCCATGTCCTTACCCTAGTGTGTATTTCTTGTCTTAGTTCTCTTAGCATTACTCAGAGACCAGCTAAACTATTATTTTTCTAGAGGAATTCTCATGCCTTTCCACCTCCGTATTTTTATTTATGCTGAGTGATTATGTCTAATTCTGTTTATCTAGTACTTTATTATAAGTCATTTTTAAAAATTAGCTTATTTAAAATGAACCAATAGGTATATCAATCATTTTTATTATACCAGATTACAGCGTCCTCATGTCTACCTACCTGTACACCTTTATGGACAACTGGTACACCACAAAACAGGCTGTCATTTGTTGGAAGTACAGGTAAAAACATAATTTGCTTATTTTAAATAGCTACAGTAGTAGAAAAAACTTAGTATTGCTAAAGTATTATCTTTTCAAAAACTTCTCAAAAGCCTTCAGAAAGTCAGTGGCATAGTTGCTTTTAAAGCCATCCATCTTGTAATTGACTTAGCATTCTTTGTTTGCAGTGCTTAGAGATATTACTGGCTTGCATGCATTTCCCTGACTTGCATATGACTATTTGCATAGCTAATTTGTTATGTAGAGTAAGTAATCCAGTGAAGGTCTGAGTTCTTTGCTTTCTAGTTCATTGGGGAAGTTCATCTCCTTAATAAAAACATACTGAAAAACTGAGTTTCTTCATTCCTCTTGTTGGGAAGTTAAACTGAACCTGAAACATATTCAGTTACCTTTGGTGAGCAAAAACTGAACGTATCAGTTGCTGTTTGTTAGTGCCTCACTGTTTTCATATATTTCATGTAATGTAAGGCTTAGACAAGCAGTTGTTCTTTGAGTATAGTATGCACGCCAGATTTTGGCTGGGAATATGTCTTGCTACTAGGTGTTTTCAATAAATGTAACCCTTATTTTAAGAATGGTTATAGAAGTATTTGTGTGTGTTTCTGAACAATAGTAACCTAGCAGTTTAGTTCCTTTTCATATCAGTGTTCATTTCAGGAGCAAAAGTTTTGCATAAATGTACTCCACAGTTTCATGTATTTTTATATTGTCTGTGAAGACTATTGAGACTATATATTTTTTTAATTCACTGAAAATTTAAATGATTTTCTCAGTATCATTACCTACATAGTATGATAAAGTCTAGGTGTTAATTTGTTATTTTCTATCTAAAAGAAATAATGATCGTTAATGGCTAACATTTTTCTAATACTAAGTCCCAAGTACTTTGTTACAGTTATGTAATAATTCATTAAATCATTAAACTTTATGAAACAGAGTTTAGGAAATCAAGACATGGGGAGATTAAGTAACTTGCTCAAGGCCACTTAGCTAATAAGTTCTAACTCTAGTATATGAATTCAGAGCCCATGTCCTAATGCTGCTTCTTAAGAAATTCGACATAAAATTATTTTAGGATTTTAAATATGCAGAAATTACTAAATACAAACCTTAAATTGGTTTTAAGATACAATAAGAAAATATGTTAAAGACATACTGTTAATCATATGGTATTTTTTTCCTCTCTCCAGAATATTATTACAGAACTCTGTCACAGTGTCCGCACACCAGATTTGGATAAATGGGAAGAAATTAAAAAACTGAAAGCATCTCTATGGGCCTTGGTTTGTAATAAACACTTCTGTAAGATCTTCTTAATTTTTAGATTTTACTCATTTTCCTGTTAATATTAAATAAATAAAAATAATTTTATTTGGAACGTGTTCTTAGATTAGTATTCTAAAGCAAAGATTGTTCCTGCCCATTTAAATATTATTTTATGTTGGAAAATAAATGATTTAACTGTTAGTTTTCTTGCTGAGACAGATGGAACTTTAATTCCTAAAGTTCCTTATGTGAGGTTTTTTTCACAGTTCTTTCTCTCTTACAGACGTGGTTAAATTTTTTGGTTTTTTGGGTAGCCTTCCAAATCTCTTGAAGGAGTTAGTCTTGTAAATATATTTGATATGTGATTTCTTTTCTTTTAGGGAAATATTGGCTCATCAAATTGGGGTCTCAATTTGCTACAGGAAGAAAATGTGATTCCAGATATACTAAAACTTGCAAAACAGTGTGAAGTTCTTTCCATCAGAGGGTGTGTCATTTAACTCAAATCTTTCTGAAGTATATATTTTTGTTCACAGATGAGTGTGAGGGAAGAGTATTTTATGATTGCAGTTTTTCAGTGCATCAGATTAAACATCTTAAGGAACTCCTTGTTTATTAATATTATTGATATTTTATTCTTATCATTGTAATATTGACATTTACCTTGCAGATAAACAGAGTATAGTGTGTCCAAATAATCTAGTAGTGCAAATATTCCAAATTTATTTCAGAAAAGCTAATGTATATATATTTTTTCCCTGATCACAATATGTTCTTTTAGATTTTTTCCTTGTAATTAATATTTTTATTATGAAGGTTTTCATGTTATTTTTAATGGCTATTAAAGAAAGCGCAAATGTACATATAGCAAACTAATATTTTATGGTTGCTTTAAGAAATCTCAGTTTGGAATTATAAACTGTCATTACTGTATCTTTTACTTACAGGACCTGTGTATATGTGCTTGGGCTCATAGCCAAAACCAAACAAGGCTGTGATATTCTAAAATGTCACAACTGGGATGCTGTAAGGCACAGTCGCAAACATCTGTGGCCAGTGGTTCCAGATGATGTAGAACAACTCTGTAATGAACTCTCATCTGTTCCAAGCACTCTGAGTTTGAACTCAGAGTCAACCAGCTCTAGACATAATAGTGAAAGTGAATCTGCGCCATCAAGTGAGTATTGTGACAGGGTCATAATAAAGTTAGCCGAAACTAACACTTGTGATATCGAAATTTAAATGAATTTTACATTCTTAATTTACTTTTCTCTGAGATAATTTGGCAGTAATAGTGTCTTGGAGAATGCATATCTTTTCACAACAGGGAGTATAGCTACCAGCCTACATTGTTCTCTCCCTTTGCTTTCTAAATAGGCCTTGGAAAAGGCTTACAGAGTTTACTTACAGAGTTAAATAATAAGCCATGTCCCAGAAGACCCATTCCCCTTTTTTGCAATTTCTAATAAGTAAATGTTTATTCATCTACTTTCTTCATTTACCTAATTCTTTTGTTCATTTTTCAGATATAGGGTTGTTGAACTAGAATATATTTAAGAGATATTATATTCATATACTCATCTTTGAAAGAAGAGCTAAATTTTAAAATTAGCGAAACTGTTAAAAGATGGAGTATCAAAAATCAATTAAATGAAAAATGGTTTGCGGTTTTAAGCCCTGTGCTAAATGCTACTAGGTGCAGAAAATTTTAGACACTTTTTTTTTTAAAGAAGATAGTGCAATATTTATCAAACCATATTTCACCAGATCTAAGATACCATAAATTATAATATGCACCACTGTTTAAGAAAAAAAAAATGCTGCCTATTGCAAGATGCATGCTGATTTTAGAGATTTTAAGTGTGAAAAATGTGCATCTTAGAATTGGCAAAATATGGAAATACAGTGCAGTGTGCAAGTTTAAGATTTTATTTTGCCTTCTTTCAGAATATATTTGAAGTAATTTACAACTATTCAACAGAAAATTAAAAATAAAAATAGAATAAAATCCCATAGATGTCATTAGGCACCTGGATTGAGTCTTTTATTAGAGGCCCTGAATTTAGATGAGTTTCTTAGTTCCTAAGGCAAAGTGAGAAATAAATATAATTGGTTTAAACATGAATTTAAAATGTTGTGACTCTGTTCTTTGTAAGTATAGTTTGCTTAAGATTGGACATTCATTTCTTATAAGATTGATTTTTCTTGCCTCTTGTGATTTGAGGAATAAACCACCAGGAATCTGTACCAACTGAGTAAATATCCAGGGTCAAGTCTCCTTTTTGCCTTTAATTTTATCTTGAATATTTGGAGGGTTTGGAAACTCACTGAGATAAAAGAAACTTTATGCAAGCTGTGACATAATGAGTTCTGTAGTTTTTCTTTGGAAATAACAGAAGATCATCATAATGACAAATTTTATATTTTATTCAAGGACAAATTCTGAGTCTCAAGGAAGCTCTTTTTATGTGGCTCAGCAGTCTAACTCTTTATTTTTGAAAAATTTTTCCCCAGGTGACTATTAAACAAAAATTTCCTGAATTATGTCACTAATAGTTACTATGATTATTTGTCCTTTTTTATCTGCTTTTATTAATCCTTTGATCATAGGTATGTTCATAATGGAGGATGACCGGTTTGGCAGCAGCTCTACTAGTACATTTTTCCTTGATATCAATGAAGATGCAGAGCCAGCATTTTATGATCGATCTGGACCTATGAAGGATAAAAATTCATTCCCTTTCTTTGCTTCTAGTAAACTTGTGAAGAATCGTATCTTAAATTCGCTTACTTTGCCTAATAAAAAACATCGTAGTAGCAGTGATCCAAAAGGAGGGAAACTGTCATCTGAAAATAAGACAAGCAACAGGCGGATCAGAACGCTTACAGAGCCCAGTGTTGACTTTAATCATAGTGATGATTTCACACCCATATCCACAGTACAGAAAACATTACAATTAGAAACTTCATTTGTTGGGAATAAGCACATTGAAGACACTGGTAGTACTCCAAGTATTGGAGAGAATGACTTAAAATTCACCAAGAGTCTTGGTACAGAGAATCACAGAGAAAACACAAGCCGAGAGAGATTAGTTGTAGAAAGTTCAGCGAGCTCACATATGAAGATACGTAGCCAAAGTTTTAATACAGACACTACAACAAGTGGCATAAGTTCGATGAGCTCAAGTCCTTCACGAGAGACAGTAGGTGTAGATGCTACGACTGTGGACACTGACTGTGGAAGTATGAGTACTGTGGTAAGTACTAAAACTGTTAAGACAAGCCACTATTTGACGCCACAGTCTAACCATCTCTCTCTCTCTAAATCAAACTCAGTGTCCCTGGTGCCTCCAGGTTCTTCTCATACACTTCCTAGAAGAGCACAGTCCCTTAAAGCACCCTCTATTGCTACAATTAAAAGTCTAGCAGACTGTAACTTTAGTTACACAAGTTCTAGAGATGCCTTTGGCTACGCTACACTGAAAAGATTACAGCAGCAAAGAATGCATCCATCCTTATCTCATTCTGAAGCTTTGGCGTCTCCAGCAAAAGATGTGCTGTTTACTGATACCATCACCATGAAAGCCAACAGCTTTGAGTCCAGGTTAACACCAAGCAGGTGAGCAAATATACATTTTAAAATGAACAATAATGTTTGCATTTTAACAGACTTAAATGTAAAGCATTAGCCAGGTTTTACATCTACGTAAACCTCAGAACTGACCTATTATAATTGTTTACTATAGTAGGCTATAAGCTCCTAGTTACCCGATATGATTTGAAATGGATTCTTGCAGCTGCGAGGGGGGAAAAGAAACTCCTTTAGGTCCTGAAAATAAACATATATGCTTTACAATGACACATAAGTCACAAGCTTTTTTTTATTTATTTCTCGCTTCTGCAAGGATCGATTTTAAAAAGAAGCATGTCGGGGGAATCAGGAGCTTAAGACCTACAATAACAAACAACCTTTTCAGGTAGGTCAATTTAAGGCTCCAAAAGTTGACTTTTTTTTTTTTTTTTTTTAAGATAACTGAAAATTTCAGTATAATTCTTTTCAGTTTAAGTAGCTGTGATTATTAAGTAGGAACCAAGTGAACATTAAATGAATTACTTGGCCCTCAGAATTCAGCAATAGCAGTTTGCCTGTGCTCAGGAGCATTTGGGAGATTTCTATGCCATATCTAAAGATTATATCAAGCTGGTCAAAGTAGTAGATTTTACCTATAAAAGATATGCAGTGTTAAATTTTATTGTTGCAAAAATTTCTATACCTTCCTTTTTTGTTGGACCAAATACCTCTAAAAACTTTCTTTAGTTTTAGATTGTTCATTTTCATTTATTAAATGGATTAGTATTTGTCAAGTACTGAGACTAGTGCCTAGCACATACTAAGCGCTCAATAAAAGTTAGCTGTTATCATCATCATCACTATTATTATTGATAGTTATTTCTTTCATGTAATCCATTTGGCTCTTATATAACCAAATTCTTAAGTTTTTAAGCAATTTTGTTTCAGGAATGTTAACACATTTAGTAGAAGAGATCCCTTGTAGCAAATAATAAATTATATTCCCTTTGGTAGAATTTCATAAATTACGCAGTAATGTCTTATCTACCTGACAGCCTCGTCCCTCCCAACAGCTCACTAGTATAAACCTATGCAGTGAACTTCACAGATTTTATTCAAAGGAAGTACCTCTGACCCACATTCATAGTTTGTTGATGTTTATTCTAACAAGTTTGTATATCAGATTTTCAGGCCTATGGAAGCAACAGTTATAAGCTTCTACTGGTAGGAACACTGTGACAGGAAAGGAGAGCTGATAAAATTGGTGGCAAAGGAGGAAACTTTTATACTACAACGAAGTATTTGGAAACTCAGAGACTACAGCAGCTAGTAGCATTCAGCCAGGGGCAGTAATGTAGCACACCAAAATAAGCAGTAAGGGTACCACCACCTTAGAGCTCAGTACAATAACCAAAGTGCTGTTAACTCTGAAGCACCCAGTTAGGGTTATTCTTTCTCACTGAAGCAGGCATTTCTGTCTAAACTGATTAAAGCACAGATAAAAAGTTTCATTGCTTAAATATTCATTAGAATAAACCAGAAACAACTATTCCAAATCACTATTTCCTAATCATTCTGGGTTCTTAGGATCTTATTTCCTGTATTCTCTGTTAGATCAAGAGAAGGATATTTGGAAATCTTACTCCTGGAATAAAATGCCGAGTTATCAGCACTATAAAGGATTAATAGATGTTTTTAATTTCTTGGGAGGGGAAAAAAAAAGAAAAAGCAGTCAAGAGAAACAGAAACAGCTGTACAGAGGCATGAGGCTTAACAAAAATCTCATGTTGGTCAAATCTGTCACTTATTCTTCAAACTGTGTTTAGTACTTAACTGTGTACTGGGTTCCATGGAGGAAAAAATTGTGTAGACATTAGTCTTCCTATTCCCACTTGTTTCCTTTGGTTAGTTCAGAGAAAATGAAAATGATGGACGATAACTACACATTTACTGTAAAATAATAGTTTGGAATCTAGGCTGAGAAGATTTTTTTTTTTTCTTATAAAATTAGAAGAGTAGTCATACTGATACCTATGGTATAATGGTTAGCATGAATCCAGCATTCTTAAAAACCATATCTTACTGAGTATTTCCTTGGGGCATAGCAGAAAAAACACTGAAGTAGGAATCCTTAATCTTGAGTTATAATCCTGGCACTGAATGAATGAACTTGGAAAAAGTTCCATAAATTATGCTATAATGTCTCATCTGCTTGAAATTCAAAAGTTTTGCAAGCCTCATCAATGCAGAACAAACCCAGGCAAACCTCTCAATTGTTTACCGTGGTAAATCTGTATGGTAAAGTTCATGAATTTTGCAGTATGTAGGCCTCAATTGCCTAATCTAGTGGAGATTGGACTAGATCAAGTGGTTTTAAGCTTTTTTTAAATGTCGCTTTTTAAGTAGAGAAACCTTTCTTCACAAAAACATTGCTATGGAAACCCAAAACGTAGAATATGTAAAAACAGAGCTATTCTGGTTGAAATAGGTATTGTGGAGGTGAGTATTCCAGTAATTTCTTCCCCTTCACTCCAGTAGTCTTTGAAGAGTTCTGTGGAATCACAGAGGTATAACAGAGTACAATTTAAAAACTACTGACCTATTTTATAAAATTTGTAAATTTCAATTATGAGTGGTTTTTAGGTGGAAATTCGTAGAAATCAGTGGGTTTTGCTATGATAATTTTAATAGCTACTATTTATAAAACATTATTTTGTGTTCTTTTCAAAATAATTCTTCATTTTAATATCAGGGTATGTTATTACATTTTAAATGACTTGAGTTTTCAAATAGCAGTATACATATAGTGTGGAACCTTGTGTACTGCCTTGTATATACAAAGCAGGCGTATGATAAATATCTTAGCATGTCTGTTGCATGAATAAAAATCTGTATAAGAAAGGTGTATCTTATGGAAATGTCATTATTCCATGTTATGGAATAACTGGTAAGGAATGCATTGAGGAAATATCAGTGCTTCATATAAAACTGTCTCTTGTAATATTTATATATGATACCATTTTTACTGTTTTTTTTAAGATGTGTACTTTATTTTAATTCTTGGCTGTGTTGGGTCTTCGTTGCTGCGCACGGGCTTTTCTCTAGTTGTGGCGAGCGAGGGCTACCCTTTGTTGCAGTGCACCAGCTTCTCATTGTGGTGGCTTCTTTTGTTGCGGAGCACGGGCTCTAGGGTGCACGGGCTTCAGTCGTTGTGGCATGCAGGCTCTAGAGCTCAGGCTCAGTAGTTGTGGCGCACGGGCTTAGTTGCCCTGTGGCATTCCCCGACCAGGGGTCAAACCTGTGTCCACTGCATTGGCAGGTGGATGCTTAACCACTGCATCACCAGGGGAGTCCCATTTTTACTGTTTTGTGTCTGTCTTCTGTGTTACAAAATCTTATGTTGATAAAGTAATTACCACACAAAGAATAAGTGATTATCCTTATTTTAATAAAAATAATCTTAAATAGAATTAGTAGACGTGCCCTTACTTGTATGATAGCAAATCTAGCAGTCTCAAATGGTTGTGAAGTTAGTTCTTGGATAATACCTCTGTTTTCTGAGGTCAGTTTTTTATTTATTTTTTACTGCTAGATGTTGAAAGTTATCTTAATTGCTCACCTTTTCACTTTTACCTGGGAGACCGTAACAGTTGTTTTTGGTCAACAGTCAACATTACTGACGACCCTTTATATATCAATTTATAAGAGAGAAATACTTTCAAGTATTCATATGTTCTCAGTAAATAAGATGGCACTCTTTAGTACTTGACTAGCTTCCTTTCTTTTATGAAGGTATGAAAATAAACTATAATTCTTTATGTGATTGCTGTAACAAATCAAGAAACTAATATAGTTTTTTTAATGGTATTATAGGTTCATGAAAGCTTTAAGTTATGCTTCGCTAGATAAAGAAGATTTATTAAGTCCTATTAACCAAAATACCCTGCAGCGATCCTCCTCAGTGAGGTCCATGGTGTCCAGTGCAACATATGGTAGCTCAGATGACTATATTGGTCTTGCTCTTCCAGTAGACATCAATGATATATTCCAGGTATCATAAATTCTATTGTTTTCTTATGAGTTGGTTTACGGTTTTTTTCATATTCTATAACTGCTTATTAGAAATTATAATTTAGAGCAAATACTAATTTGGGGGAAGGTGGTATTTTTAGGCAGTGTTATTTAAAGAAATTTTACCATGAGAATTATTTCACTTTTCTCAACTATTCTATACTCTTTTATTTAGCATCTCTGAGTCCCCAGCACATTATCCTTCTCCTCACACTAAATCAGCATCTGGTTTGATTTCTTTATCAGTATATTCTCTATAGAAATTTTAATGCCTAATCTTGCTTTTTAGTCACACTTGACTTATTCCTTATTGTTTTTTTAAATGAGGTATAACTGACATATAACATTGTGTAAGTTTGAAATGTACAATGTATTCCTTGTTTTATTTAATCCTTGATCCTATTTATCCCAAACATGGCAGCCACATGTTGTGCTAATCCCATGAAATACTCACAAATCTCTAGAAGGTAGATAGTACTAAAGAATACACATTTGTTTAGAAGTGTAAAAACATTTTAGATAAATTCTAAAATAATTATTTTAATATCCATTTAAGTCACCAAGAATAGATAAGGACCTTAAGGGTTTTATGCTATTTTGTCAAGTTTTGGTGATTTAACCTTCTTCAGTATCTTTTCATTATAGGTTCATGTGCTATAGTAATTCTGTTTAAATTACATTTCATTTAATTATGCTAATATACATAAAGTGAATTTTTATAACAGGACTTAACCATGACATATCTATTTTAGGTAAAGGATATTCCCTATTTTCAGGCAAAAAACATACCTCCACATGATGATCGAGGTGCAAGAGTGTTTGCCCATGATGCAGGAGGTAATGCATGGTTTTTGTTCTCTTTATATTAAAAAGAAAATTCTTTTCAGTGGGATGACACTAAAAATTCAGGTATACTTACTTTTGGGTCAACTTAAAAAATTATAGCAAAATAATTGTTTGAGTCAATTTAAAATTAAACCACAGTATTTTTTTGCGAGAGACTTAAAGTGTTTTTCCAACTAACAAGCCTCTCAAGAAGACAAAGACCAGATCAGTTGCTTCTGTTTTAAACAAACAATACATGAAAAAATTTTAACACTTACACTCATAGGTCTAAGCAACAGCTGTTTGGGGAAAGGAGAGAAAAATGTACTTATACATTACATGATCTCTCTTTGCTATGAGCTGTGGTATTTTAATTAATATATGCGTATCAGCCACAAATTTAAAGCTTTAAAATCTTGATGATTTTTTCTTAACAAGGACCTCTTTAGACTCGGAATTATTACTTTTCTTTACGCAAATATTAAGAATTGATTACACAAATATTAAGAATTGAAATGATACCTAACTGTATAATCTTAATTTTTTATTTTGTATTTAAAACCCCATATTAAAGTAATATAAGTATATCTGCTGATGTTAATTATTTTCATAATTTAAAGCAAATTATCCTGTTTTTCTCCCCAGTTAAGGTTAGATTTTGAATCATAAAAGGAGTTCTGGTTTTCTTCCCTAATTTCCCTTCTTTAAAATTTCACATAGTTTAAGGCACCTTGAAAGAGGTGTCATTGATACCATCTTCATCAGATTATGTTTTATATTTACTTATGCACAGGTCTTCCATCTGGAACTGGAGGTCTTGTAAAAAACTCTTTTCACTTGCTACGACAGCAGATGAGTCTTACAGAAATAATGAATTCAATCCATTCAGATGCTTCTCTGTTTTTAGAAAGCACAGAAGACACTGGACTACAGGAACATACAGATGATAACTGCCTTTATTGTGTCTGTATTGAAATTCTGGGTTTCCAGCCCAGTAACCAACTGAGTGCAATATGTAGTCATTCAGGTGAGTGATTATGTCCTTCAAGATGAACCCACCTGCCTTTGAATCTGCTCCAGTCACAAGTCATCTCCCAGCCCGATTGATCATCCCTCTTACTCCATTCGCATTACCTCAGCCTTAGTACGGTCACGCAGCATCTCCCTGTGGGAATGTTAGTAAGTTTGTCTCCAGTTTTTTCCCCTTCCAATTCATCTTTCTTACTACTGCCTTGGATTAGGCTGTTGACAGTTTTTTTTACTGCCTATTCAAGTCCAGCACACAAGACTTTGTGTGATCTGTCTACTGTTTTTTTTACCATTCTCCAATCTTATAATTGATACACTGCTACTGACTAGATGTTTTTTGAACAGACTGTGCTCTTTTTCATGGTTCTAGGCATGAAGAGTGTGTGTTCCCTACTGTTCCCTCTTGCGCCTTCTCCTCCTCACACACATGCAAGCTCACACACAGTCCATTTGGCAAGCCCACCTCATCCTCAGAGTTGGGGCTGTTTTATCTTCAAAGCTTTCTGTGACCCTCTTAGTCGTATGTTGACACTTCTTCCTCTTTACTTTCATTGCTCTTTGTACATAGATCTCTTATGATAATTATTGCTTGGTTATTTTTTTCCCTTCTACTCAATAAGTTCCTTCAAGGTATGGTCTGTCATGCCTTTTCATTTTTATTTTCTAATACTCAGCTGCGTACTGCTTTATATACTAGGCACTCAATATTTTTTTGGTGAGGGAGTGAATGAATCAGATCCAGATTCAGCTTTTTTATAAATATGTGTAGATAGCTTTTCTTGGTGAATATCACTTAGACACCCTCAAAAAAATCTAGTTATAACTAAAGTTCTCTGGGTCATTCATCCACGTTTCTCCATGGCATCCTGATTCAGAACTTCCCAACTGATGGGTTGCAGCACACTGTTGTACCACATCCACAAATAGGATATGGATGTGCTGAGAGATTAATCCCCTCCGTGGCTCCATGCGCCAGTTGGGCCTGGGTTTGACAAACCCTTGGACTAGGCACTTACCACTGTGAACAGTCCGGTCCAGGGACCCAGAGTGCTATAATTATTTTCATTTTCTGTGAGCGAAAGGTTTGGGCATTATTGTTCTGATGTACACAGTAAAGAAGATGCTATTTAAAATCATTTGTCTATACATTGTTTATGATATTTTAGTTCTTCTAAGTTCTGTTTCTTCATTTACTCGTTCAACAAATACTTATGAAGCACTTACTGTGGAGGTTTGCTATGTAAGTGTTTTCTCTTTATTTATCAAACGAGATAGGGAAGCCAGCTCCCTAATTACCCAGTCACAAGACAGTCCCAGCTAGTTCTAATCCATTTGTGATTACTGAGCTAGTAATCAAGTGGCGTCACATCAAGTGTGGGACTTGTGGAAGACTTGCTGCAGTCAGCAAGGCTCTCACCTTGGCACAGGATCAGAACCCCTCCACCTGTTGCTCTAGTGATACAAAGTGGGGAGGAGAATAACTCTTAATTGGGAAGTGATTACAGTTTACTATTGATACCCCTCTTGGAGGTATGAAGGGAGGCAGTCTAATTGTTAAAAAGTCACTGAACCTCTATGGATTTATGCGTTCAACTTAATATTTATTACATCACTACTGTGGATCAGGCATTAAACTAGATGCTAGGAAAACAATTGAGAGAGAGAAAAATAGATATTATTCTTACACTCTTTGAGCTTTAATCCAATGGAGAAGGAAATGGATTGACTGACCACTCGATCAATCAGTACACAAATATTAATATAAATACTGCGTTTGTAACAAACACCATCAAGGATAGGTACATGGTATTAACAAAGGAATATAACCAAGTAGGCAGATCAAAGAAGAGACTTCCAAAGAATTGCTGTTGAGCTGTGGTTGAAAGAATGAATAGAACCTAAGTGAAGGCTGGAGTATAGAGAATTTTGAGAGAGAGGAAGCAGCATGAGCAAAGGTCTTCTCTGATGGGAGCAAGTATGGGAAGTAGGAAGGACTAAAAAGACACCTGTGGGAATGGAGCTCAGAAAGCAAAGGGAGAGGAAATACAGAATCAGCCTAGAAAAACGGGTAGGGATGAAGTCCTGCAGAGCCCTTCCTACCCAAAGTGTGGTCAGCAGACCAGCAGCATCAGTATCACCTGAGCACTTATTAGAAATGCAGACTCTGCGCCACACGCAGAATCAGAATCAGCATTTTAACAAGATGCCCAGGTTATTCATGTACACATGAATGTTTGAGAAGCACTGGTATCAGCCATATTAAGTATTTTGTGTATCAGAAAGGAGACATCTTTATTTTCCATGGCAGATAATTAAAAAATAGTTCCTATACTATTTTTTTAAATTGAAGTATAGATAAGTTACAATATTTGTGTTACTTTCAAGTGTACAGCAAAGTGATTCAGTTGTGTGTGTGTATGTATATTCTCTTCTAGATTCTTTTCCATCATAGGTTATTACAAGATATTGAATATAGTTCCCTATGCTATACAGTAGGCCCTTGTTGTTTACCTATTTTATATATAATAGTGTGTATATATTAATCCCAAACTCCTAATTTATCCCCCCCATCCCCTTTGGTAACCATTGTTTGTTTTCTATGTCTGTGAGTCTATTTCTGTTTTGTAAATAAGTTCATTTGTATCATTTTTAGATTCCACATGTAAGTGATACCATATATTTGTCTTTCTCTTTCTGACTTAATATGATAATCTCTAGGTCCATCCATGTTGCTGCAAATGGCATTATTTCATTCTATTTCATGGCTGAGTAATATTCCATCTTCTTTATCCATTCATCTGTTGATGGACATTTAGGTTGCTTCCATGTCTTGGCTATTGTAAATAGTGCTGCTATGAACATTGGGGTGCATGTATCTTTTCCAATTAGAGTTTTCTCTGGATATATGCCCAGGAGTGGGATTGCAGGATCACATGGTGACTCTGTTTTTAGTTTTTTAAGGAACCTCCATACCGTTCTCCATAGTGGCTGCACCAATTTACATTCTCACCAACAATGTAGGAGCATTCCTGTTTCTTCACAGTCTCCAGCATTTACTGTTTGTAGACTTTTTAATGATGGCCATTCTGACTGGTGTGAGGTGATACCTTGTAGTTTTGATTTGCATTTCTCTAATAATTAGTGATATTGAGCATCTTTTCATGTGCCTGTTGGCCTTTTCATTGCCATCTATATGTCTTCTTTGGAGAAATGTTTATTTAGGTCTTCTGCCCATTTTTTGATTGGGTTGTTTGGTTTTTTTTTTTTTTTTGATACTGAGCTGTATGAGCTGTTTGTATATTTTGGAAATTAATCCCCTGTCAGTAGCATTGTTTGCAAATATTTTCTCACAGTCCATAAGTTGTCATTTTGTTTATGGGGTGTTTTTTTTGTTTTGTTTGTTTTGTTTTTTGCTGTGCAGAAGCTTTTAAGTTTAATTAGGTTTATTTTTGTTCTTATTTCAGTTACTCTAGGAGACAGATCCAAAATATACTACTGCAATTTATGTCAAAGAGTGTTCTGCCTCTGTTTTCTTCTAGGAGTTTAGGTCTTTAATCCATTTTGTGTTTATTTTTGTATATGGTGCCAGGGAATGTTCTAGTTTCATTCCTTTACATGTAGCTGTCCAGTTTTTCCAGCACCGCTTATTGAAGAGACTTTCTTTTCCCCATTGTATATTCTTGCCTCCTTTCTCGTAGATGAATTGACCATAAGTGCATGGGTTTATTTCTGGGCTCTCTATTCTGTTCCCTTTGTCTATATGTTATATTTCTGTTTTTGTGCCAGTACCATATTGTTTTGATTACTGTAGCTTTGTAGTTACAGTCTGAAGTTGTCCCCCCTCTACTATGTAATGATCATTTTAAAGGGATGTCAGGACTTGAACACAAGACTTTTCATTCTTTGAAACTTTCAGTCTGGTGGTAGTGTTGGTAGTGTTGGTAGTGGTAGTTGTTCAAAAAATGTTAAAGCTCAGTGGAAAGGCTATTAGGATATTTCCTCACATTTTATTCTGTGTCTACCACCTTTACAGATATTTGTGCATTGTATTGTTTAGTGTGCAAGGCAACATGTTGGCCTTTCAACATTTAGTATTATATGTTTCTTTTGGGTCCACTTTTATGTATACCACCACATTTGCCCTAGTGTAGCTAACCAACTGAGTGGGAAACCTTCTGAGTGTTGTAGACCAGTCCATCTGTGAAAGAGAGAGCACTGGAAAAAAAAATCAGCTAACTATAAAAGATAATGGCAAGAGATCAGTTTGAATGTCTAGGTTATTAAACTGACAAATTTGTGAGGAGTGGGTAGAAACTACATGGGGTAGGGGAGGGCCCTAAAGAGACAGTGGTGGTTTTCAAAATTATTTTAGCTGTAAAACCCATGTTTCAATCAAAATGTATACAAAAGCTCAGTGGTATGCAGATGAGGATGTAAGGGGAACAGTGGGGTGGCACTCCATCTACTAGCCTTGCCCAAGTATAAAATTGGGGGTAGAGGAGGCTAGGAAATGCCAGGGCTTCAAGAAACACTGAAGACCCCTGGTGTAAACATAGCAGAGTGTGAGTTTTGGTATCAAGGAGACTTAGGCTCAAAGCCAAACTTTTCCATCTTATTAGTTATCTGATCTTGGGCAATCTACTTAGTTTCACTGAGCTTTACTTTTAATTTTTTCTTAAATCTCTAAATAGGAATAACGATACCTGCCTTATGGTGTGGTTTTGGTACTTACTAACATGTAAGATTAACATTCAGTAGGCTCTCCGTTAATGGTAACTCACACTAAGTTGTTTATGTTAGAAATAATATTCTTTCATAAATTCTGATAGGTCAGTTAGAATGATCTTACTGTGCTCCTAAGGAAAATCTCCTTGTTCATTTCATTTTACATCCCTGCTGCCAAGGGGAACTGGTGATCAGGTGGGTATATCTACCAGAGACAGAGCTCCTCACAGAAATTCTTAATGTTTTTCATAAAGAATTGTTTCAGCATTTCAGATAAGCTATTTGGCGACTTGACTACTTTCTGATAGGAAAAATTGAGCTTATGATTTTTCTTAATTAACCCATATGGACTTATGTAATTTTTTGCTTAGAGCTTTTTGTTCTTTCCCACATATAGTGGCTGGAGTCAGCCTTATGCCCAGATACAGGGAATAAAGAAGGTATCCAGTTTCTTAGAGTCTGGTCTGTCCTGTGCTTCATGTCTCCATTTTTAATTAAAAGATAAAATAAAGCTGAGCTAGAATATTGTTAATTAAAAAGAGAGGAAGCAGTAAAAGCAAACAACTACAGTGAAGAAACTAAACATCAATCACATAGATAAAATGGTTCAGTTTATGGACATAATGCTTCATCCAAATTAAAAATAATCTTGAAATAAAATGTGTTGAGTAAAAGTATAAGTATCATTGCATTGAATACTTTTTAAGAGAAGATAGAAAATAAAGGTCCCTAAAAGTCAGTATCATCAATATAGTATGCACAGTTTTGCCTTCAGCAGAGTCCTAGACATTACCTTCCATGCATAAGAAGAAGGAGGCCAACTAGCTGGTCCTTTCCCAGTTTCAAGAAGTTTTGGTTCTCCTTATTGTGCCAATTTATAAATAGTGCCTATATTCTACCCACTTGTTCTCTGAAGTTTCCATTTAGCACATGTAGTTATTTCATTAAAAAATTTACTCATATGGTTTATAGCAGGTTTCACACAAAAAAATACCCCATGTAGTAAAAGCCTTCTGTTATCACTATACTTAGGATGCTTTTTCACGTCTTCCAATGGGAGAAACTAATTCTTTTGGCCTGGCTTAGTTAGACTCATGATTTTTTTTTTTTTTTAATGAGAATGAATGATATCTTTAGAAATAAGATGTGGTTGTAACAGGTTAGAAATGTTAGGAGTCATCACTGGTTGAAGGTGAGGCTGAAATGAATTAGTTTATAACTTTTCAGAAACATGTTGATTAAAAGAAGTATAATTTTCTTACTGTTCCTTGCACTGGAATATTTTGTCATTTTACTCCCTGGGAAGCTCATCAACTGAGTCTAAAATAACATAGTCATCTCTTACCTGGTTATTCAGCATTGCTGGTTTTTAAGTACATCTTTAGTTCTCAGATCTTTTGGCAGTAGTTTTATATTTTAAATCAATGTATAATTTAAGTACCATACATTACTTTTAAGTGCCTGACAGATGCATGATTTCCTTAATATTAAAGCTATGCTAAATTGATTTTCTGAGGAACCAAAGCATATTCCGCTTAGTACTATGTAAATATTAATCTTAGGAAGTGCTTAAAGATGAGATGAGGTGGTGATATCTATTCTGTTGAAAACAGCATAGGGAGAGGTAGTGTGTGTTTACATTGGTCTAGTTTCCTGGACTTTTTAAAAAGCTTTTTTAAAAGCTCTTTTTAATACTCTCACAATGTGTTGTAGTGGAAAGAGGACTGAACTAGCTATCAAGAGGTCTCACCTTCTGGCTGAGTGTGTCTCTTCTCTCTCAATCTCTTGTAGCTACTGAGGTTGCATGATTTTCTGGGTTGCCCAATGTTACTTCCTAAAAGGATAACCAAAGACTTTCTGATTTCCATTTGCTCTAATCACTTCAAGTGCTCAGGAAATTTTTAAATAAAAAACATTGATGTCATTTTAACAGCACTAAGATGTTTGGTTGACCTTAAAATCCCATATAGGAGTATACCTTAGCAATGCATGGGTAGTATAGTAAATTTAACTCTAAGGAAGGAACTTATAAGCCCAGGGAACTGTGATTCTAATATTGGTAATCATTAAATGGTGGGAACAACAAGTGATAGAATAATAGATACAGTATAATCCCACTTATGCACCAAAAGAGCAAGAAAGAGAAATTTAAAATAGCAAATATCTGAATTTTTATATATTTAAGAGAGGGGTATTTAGTTTGGGGGTGGGAAGGATGGGAGAGGGGGTAGATAAGGTACCTTCATTTTTTATTCTGTATACATCTTTATTTGAATTCTTTAAATAAACACATATTTATGTATTTTTTATAATTTAGGAGTATAAAATTTTATGTATATATGTCTTTAGAATTTAACAAATTTTACTATCTGAGTGGTCTGAATTTACTTTGAAAATCTTCATCAGGGAAAATAATTATTGAAGACTGGAAAGAGATTACAAGGAATCATCTCTTCTATAGTATACAGTGCAAGCATAGGAATTAAGCCATTATGATCTGTTAATTGATTTAATTTTTTCTTCAGACCTTCAAGACATTCCATATTCTGATTGGTGTGAGCAGACTATCCATAATCCCTTAGAAGTAGTTCCCTCTAAATTTTCGGGCATTTCTGGATGCAGTGATGGAGTGTCTCAAGAAGGATCAGCCAGCAGCACCAAAAGCACAGAACTGCTACTAGGTAAGTTTTCAGATTTAAATCCAAGTCCTGTTAACATAACTATACTTAGTCTGTTGTTGTTGTAGATACATACTGTTAATTAAAGTTGTCTCATAACTATGACAAGTCAGTTTTACTGAGGTATGTTTAGATAACTGTTGCACCTATATCAGCTGCTGATACATACCCTCTTAGCTATCTGCTTTCATTAGAAAGAATTTTGCTCCCAAAATGATTGGCAGGTCATGTGCAATTTATCTCAGTTTTATATATTTGGTAGAGTTGAAAAAACAAATTCCATGAGTTATAATACTTTTCTATTGTGATATAGATAAAATATTTTAATCTTCTCTTCAGGTGTTAAAACAATTCCAGATGATACACCAATGTGCCGTATACTCCTTCGCAAAGAAGTTCTGAGATTAGTCATTAATTTGAGTAGTTCAGTTTCAACTAAATGTCATGAAACTGGGCTTTTAACGTAAGTAAGCTATGAGCATGAGTATTCTTTGTTCTGCTTTTTATGGTGAAAAAGATATTTGACATACTTCAAAAGTTAGACTAATTAGCTTACATCAGTGGTTCTCAACTGCATGGCATATCTGAGTGAGACTAGATTGTCTTTACATACATCAACCAAACTAGCGTACGGTTACAAATTGAATGCAGAAGCAGGTATGTGAATCCAGCTATCTTCTATTCAGCCAGACTTTAAAGAGATCTGTAAAAATGTAAAACAATACCAATCTTCTCACTTTTTTAGTTTTGGGAAATATAGTTTTTTTTCATTAAAGTATATGTATTTATGTTAACATGTAATAATTTTATTTTTTAAATGAATTAATAAATATTTTGAAATTTTCTCAGTTTTACTTTCTTATATGGTAATTATTGATGGCTATCACCCACAAAAAATAAAATTTGTGGGGTTCTCAAGTAATTTTTAAGAAAGTAGGGGTATCCTGAGACCATAAAGCTTAAGAAAAGCTGGCATACATAAAAATAAGTGATATTTTCTTGGTTTAATTTTTCCCTATTTTTACTCCTTTCTTTTAATAAAAGTTGCAGAATTTTTATTGCTTTTCTAAATCACAGCAACATGATAAAAGAAAATTCAGGCAATCTTCAACATCTTTGATTTGCACTATTTAAAGCAGTGGTCCTCAAAAAAAAAAAAAATGCACCTCAGGGTCTCCTGTGGGGCTTTACAAAATAATAGTAACACAGATGCCAGGGTCCCACTGCAGACCTCCTGGTCAGAAGCTCTAAGTATAGTGTGTCCTTAATCTGTGCATTACCCCACACCACCACTGACTCTGAGATGCTCTGCCAGCTAAAAGCCACTGTTAAAGGTTGAAAGATATAGAGAGCCCAGTCAAGGATATTAATAATTTCAGTCTAACTTTAAAAACTTATTTCTATTTTAAAACTTAGTTTTGAAAATACTTGAGTTATCCTAGGCTGATAAATAAATTTTGTAATTTCTCATGCCAGTGATAAAGAATATTTCTGACTTTCCAAGAAGTATTTGTGTTTTTATCATTTTAAGAGATAATCCCAAACTTAAAATAGCTAATGTAAGTGTGAGGTAGGAATATTTACTATTTTATATTCTTATGCCATCACCCAGATGTGCCACTTAATCAATATCTGGAGGAAAAAGATATTTAAAAAGTGATATTTTGAAAGAAAATAGCAAAGTCATTATTATAATTTTTATCACATCTTAGTCTTTTCTTCCATTTTAGAATTAAGGAGAAGTATCCTCAAACATTTGATGACATATGCCTTTACTCTGAGGTTTCCCATTTGCTGTCACATTGCACATTTAGACTTCCATGTCGGAGGTTCATACAAGAATTATTTCAGGATGTACAGTTTTTACAAGTAAGTAAGATTTGTACTTTTGAACTTTATCTTTCAAAAATCTCTTTGAATTAAGTTAAAAGAGATTATATCTGTTGATACACTAGAAAGTCATTAATAATTTACCACTTCTTTTCTAGATGCATGAAGAAGCAGAGGCTGTCTTGGCAACACCACCAAAGCAACCTATAGTTGATACATCTGTTGAATCCTGACCTCATATTTATGATGTATATAGATGTATACTATATATATTCATATTTGTGGACTTCTAAAAGCCTCAGAAAATGCCGATTGACTGGGCAGCAAAGATAGGAGTATCTTCTCTACGCTGTTTCAGCAATTACTGGTACATGAGCAGTTGGAACTGCGGACTTCCCTAACCGAAACAACTTCCTCTCTCCCCCGTTGAGCCCTTTTAGGGGTTCATTGTTCATTACCACAGTTTTAAGAGTTTTAGTTACCATTGTATGCAAGAGCCAAGCACTGAATACCTACATAGGTTTTCTGTTTTTTCATTTTAAGAGCATAATAACAGTGGAACAATAATAAGATATGCAGAAGCACCCTTCACACCGTTATTTCTGAATTCTTTTTTTAGGGTAAATATAAAGATGCCTTGTTTGTTAACTAATTTGTGGAAACTAGGAATCAGTGCCTCTGAGGGTGCATCCTATTAGCACAATGGGGTGTGCTGTAACTGCTGGTATTAGAGGGGGATCTTTGGCCCTTCCACTTTTTTCTTCATGTTTATAACACTACTTCAGAGGTTTGTAGCCTCACAGCGAAAGAAGAGCCTCAACAACCAGGACTTATAAATTATTTTTACATTACTAGACTTACATAAAGTTTCTTGTTTTCCATCTCTTCAGTTTTGTTGCAATGTGTTATTGTAGGCTATTTGAACTAATTAAGGTTTTTCACTACAGTTCCTGATTAAAATCAGAAAATTATTTTATAATTCAAAGTATTTTCCATTCATAGAATGCATATATTTTCAGTGGACTTCCATTTTCATCAGCTTCCCATATCACCATTTTAAACCGTAACTTGAACAAGCACTATTAATTTAGACCTAAAGCAAAAGAAAGCATTAAATAAAATCTTGCATCTCTTGAGGAAAAGATAAGTTTGCCTACAATTTATACATTCCATGGGAAAAGAAAAGCCATAGTTCCTTTTAAAAAATCATTAATGAAACTTACTATTACGATTAAAAATTGTAGTGAAAAGCCTTAAGTACCAAATTTTAAAGCAGCAGTAATTTAATTTTTATATCAGTGTTCTTGTTTTGCACAAACTAAATGCAGTGATAGGTGAGTTTATGAGTACAGTAATTGCCTTTATCACATTTGCAAAATTAAGTTGATGAGGGCAAGGTTTTGTTTATTTGTGTGTTTAATTTGTGTATGTCTAAAAATATTTGGAAATCTTTACAGGAATTAAACATATATGCAAATTTGTATATAAAAAAGCATGGCCATCCTCATTAGAATGCTTGTAAATGAAAGGATTATCTTTTTTGAGGTCTATATATAAATAGAAAAAAAAATCCAGCTGGACTGATTAGGACCCTTTTTAATTCGTTTAGACCATTTTTACAGTTATGCATCAGCTCTGACACAGTCATAGTACATGGATTAATATCCTCCCATATTACAGATCCTTTTTATAATGGGCTTGTTCTTTGAGATCTCTGTAAAGAACCCTGTGAACTAGAAAACGTAACTCACAGAGTTTTTTTTTTTTTTTTTTAATATACTGGCACTGAAAGTTCCAATTGGGATGAAGCATTTCATCTCACTTCATAACACCTCTTTGACTGCACTTCAGTGAATTGTTCTTATGTGCACTGTGTAGCAACTTACATTATAACAAAGCAGATAAGGGCTGTAAGCTTCTGCTTATGTTAAAAAGTGGTTCTTCAGATTTTCTTTCATAAAATCCAATTGAAGATAAAAGAAATGCTTTTTTTTTTTTAACTTTAATTTATCACTGAACCCAAGTGTTTATTTAAATGTTAACAGTACTTCTAAGAACGTTGCCTGTCACCTTGGTCTTTGGTCTTGGATTATTAAACTGCCTTCCAGAGAACCAATGTCAGAGATACTAGACCAAATAGTGATTAAAAACTCCAAAGGAGGTGATGTAGTAATCTTATGAATAATGGGATTAACATATTTTAGACATTCATTTTAAACACTACCTCAGTTAATATAAAATCTGTGGTTTAATCCCTCAAAAGTTAACAGTAAATTTTTTGTTACACACACACACACCCCCATCCATCCATCCCTGGACCCCACCTCACTCATCCATCCTGAAATGAAGTCTTCATTACTATTAGCCTGAACAGTTTTTTTGATTATTACTTTGAAAGATGTGTGTATATATCATAATATTTGCCTATAGCACTTAGTTTGGGGAGACAAGAGCTTTGTGGTTCTCAGTAATCTATGAAAAAAAGATGTCTATACTTAAATGTATAGTGCTGTTTGGTTTATCCATGTTTCACTGACAGGTCTAATATGTTTCCTTTAAGTACTTATTTGTATAAAAGTAGACTTCTATGATGAAAAATGCTCACATGCGGTGCCAAGTGATTTACTTAAGTGTTTAAAATATTAAATTATAGCAGAAAAGGTTAGGAATGTTGTCAGTGGTAATAGAAATAATTGAGAAAAGCACCTATATGTAATAGATATTACCAGACTATAAAATACCAAAATAATGTCAATACTGTAGTTTTCCAAGATTTTAGAATTAATCTTAGTCCATATAAATTTGTACTACTGGTAATTATTGAATAATTTGGAGGAATTTGGGCAGTTGTGCTGGTTGTAAACTGTGAATTTCTAATTGTAAAGTGAATTGTCATTTCTAATTGAAATTTTTTTCAAGAACAGATTTCAGCTTCACATACTAATAAGTAAATACTGATAAATAAGGAAATTAGAAATTAGTATTTGTAATTAAATATGGTCTAAAATTTCTTATACTTTTACTTCCTATTTATGCTTAGATAGACTTGAGGAGGGAAAAAGTCTTTTCTCCCTAATAAAAAATTTTCTAATGAAGATTGGTAGCATAAGGGCATTCTGTAAGACATTGACTTTGAAAGAGGCTCTTTGAAGGTATATACTTTATTATGGTAGTTACTCTAACATCAGGTGTATAAGTCCTTTTGAAATGGGGTGGCTTTAATAATTTTGAGCTCTTTTATCCAGAGCTTGAGGTAATTAAAGCTGAGTTTTTCTGGGCATATTACAATGGCAGAGTGTTCAGCAGTGAGGTGGGAATGCTTATTTAGATTTGTCTCCTGCTATTTATATAAATTTTTTTTCATTCCATTCAGAGGATGCCTTTTATTCCCACATTAAAGCACAGATCATTAAGCAATAAAAAGCAATCAAATTGTCATCCAAATTATAACTGCAGTTACTTTTGCATGGTAAGAGTGAGGTGCTAATTTTGTGTGAGAGGAGCTTTGTAAACTACCTTGGGAAAAGGTCCTTTGGAAGTAAGGTTTTTCCCCTTTTGTCCTATGCTTCCAGTTTGGTCTCAAATTCACAATCCATTGAACATGGGAAAAAAGAAACAATTAATTGAGAGAGTTTTATGAGAAGAGCTGTTGGAGTAAAAGAACATTTCACATTTTCCAAAATGTAAGTTGGGAAAGGTCTCCCTTGTCTCCCCATTCAGGGAATACATTATTACCAGCTTCATTTCAAGAGTATCACTACAGTGAGAGTTTGATTATAAAAGCATACCGGTAAAATTAATAGCAGTGCTTATCAGACAATATTGAAATCTGTGAGAATCTTTCTAGGAGCATTTGTTTTTTCTTTTAGTTTTAGGTTCCCAGGGTAGTTTTCATTCATAGTAGTGTTTTATGACTCACACAGAATGTGGATTTTCTCCCCTTTAGAGTATTTTTGTAATATAGGTGGATAGCTATGCCACAGCATGCATAAATTGCACATTTTGTTTGACCTTCTTTATAAAATATTTAATTTGAAAAATATAATTTATGCCAAAAAAGTATATCTTGTAATTTTGCCACTAAATAGGTTGATTTAGCACAAAATGCAAAGTCTTGGGGCAGAGGAGGGGGGAGATTAAAACTTTCATAGATAATAGTTGAAAATGTTCCATTATTGGCCTGTCAGAAACCCTAAAGCTGCATTGTAAAACAAATGGTGTAAATTAGTTTTGAAAAGTGGTAAGGGATTGTGAAAAAAATCTGACTTAATGCTCCCTAACCACAAAATTTTCTTTTTTATTTAGTAATACGCTGCTACATATTTGGAGGTTCTGGTGTTTGTAGGTCACTGAACAGACATTGAAATCTGATTTATATTGTATAACTGTAACATAGAAAGAAAAAGTATTTATATATTTTCCGTAAGAATATTTCATTGAGTTGTGTATAATTTAAATAAGGTTTGTCCTCTAACGGTTTTGCTCACCTTGATTTTTTTTTGTGGTTTTCTTGTTTTTGTATAATGTGTACAGTTTTATGTCAAGGGCATTAAAAGCCTCCTGAAGCATAATCTTATCAAAGGGATACATTCTTAATAAAATGTACTTAAAAATTCTTAAACTTGTGTCATTCTATTTGAAATTTTAAAACCATCAGTGTTGATTTATGTACCACTGAGGCTGGTAAAAGTGACTTTTAGGTACCATAATTAAGAATCTGGTTCAGTAACACATAGCGGCTTGTTCCAAATGTTTTAAAATAGCTATTTATACTTTCTAAACACTTCATAATCTAATCAAATATCTTTACAGTTTTTATTTTTTAACTGCAGTTTATTGTAAAGGGTTTGAAAAAGTGGATCGATCTATAGAACAATTCTGATTCTTTTAGTGATTAATATACAGAATGAGCAATGATGGTATGATGGTAACTTTTCTGTATAAGCTATTTGATTTCTCACACAGAAACTGGCCTGGATCAAGGAAGCTAACCTACAGCCACCTAGTGGCAAAAGAAAATACCACAAGGGGAATTACAAGCCTGGAGAATAAAATTCAATGTCAAAGCTAGGGTCTGTTACAGTTGATTAAATGTGGTAAAATGTATTCAGAAATAGATTTGTTTTGGATAGTTTGGTTTTTAAGCACATGTGTATCATTTTCATATTGCCTTCTACTATTGTTTTTCAACAAAAACGTAGTTGGCCCCCAAATAAACTAAAAGCACGCTTAACCATCATCACACAGCTCACCTCTGAAAACTGTGATGATATAGCTGAACTTCAGACAGTTTGTTTCATTTTTTAAAACTCTTTGGTATATAAAGTACTGTCCTAGAGAAAGAAAAATATCCTGTGATATCCCTTATGTGTGGAATCTAAAAAGAAACGATACAAATGAACTTATTTACAAAACAGAAACAGACTCACAGACTTAGAGAACTAACTTATGGTTACCAGGGGGGAAGGGTGTGGAAGGGGATAGTTAGGAAGTTTGGGATCGACATGTACACACTGCTATATTTAAAATAACCAACAGGGACCTACTGTATAGCACAGGGAACTCTGTTCAGTGGCAACCTGGCAGCCTGGGTGGGAGGGAAGTTTGGGGGAGAATGTATACATGTATAGGTATGGCTGAGTTGCTTGGCTGTGCACCTGAAACTATCACAACATTGTTAATTGGCTATCCTCCAATACAAAATAAAAAGTTTAAAAAAATTTTTAAAAAAGTACTGTCCTAGTCCATTCGGGCTGCTGTAACAAAATACCACAGACTGGGCAGTTTATAAACAACAAATTTATTTCTCACACTTTTGTTGGCTGAAAGTCTCAAATCAGAGTGTGAACATGTTTGGGTGAGGGCCCTCTTTCAGGTCCCAGACTTCTTGTGTCTTGTGTCCTCACATGGCAGAAGGGACTAGGAAACTGTAGCGTCTCTTATAAGAGCATTAATCCCATTCATGAGAGCTCTAGCCTCCTGACCTAATCACCTCCCAAAGGCCCCATCTACTAATACCATCATCTTTGGGTGTTAGGATTTCAACATAGGAATTTGGGGGGGGCATCATTCAAACCATAGCAACTAATTTTGTATTGATTTCAAAAAAACCCAAAATGTACTAAAACTTTGTTTCTTTAATGCTTAGAGGACAAAGACAACTACATTTGCTTAGTCCTTTAAATTGAATGTATTTAGTCATTGTAAGTATTATTTTAACTGCTAATTTTGAAGGCTTTTAATCGTCTGTTGTATCTCTTCGAAGGTTTTAATTTTTTTTTTTTTTTTGGCCGCACCTTTTGGCATTTTGGATCCTAGTTCCCTGACCAGAGATTGAACCCGCATCCCCCTGCAGTAGAATTGCAGAGTCTTAACCACTGGACCACCAGGGAAGTACCTCTTCAAAGATTTTCAAAGTCCTACTTTATGCAAAATGTTTAGTATGTTTTGTAATTTTTTTGAAAGCTAATCTTTCCACAGAGCTCTTAGAAGAAATATTTGATGTTGTCTAATTCAACCTGATTTTCTTAATCATATTCTAGTGGAGAATTAGTTTCACTAGAATTAGTGTGAGTCAGGTGTTGGAATGTCAGCAGGCACTTTCAGCAGGTCCATAGCTCTGCTATGTGACTAGGTCCCTGCTCCCAGCCTATCTACCTGCAGCTGAGGACCAGTCACCAGGCCGAGGCATTATTTATTTGTAGGTCATTATTTGCCAGTTTTTCCCACCATCAAAATATCCTGATATTGCTAAGGAATATTACTAACTAGGTTTTAGATGTGATTTTTTTTTTAATTTTAATTCTTTTAATTTTTTATTTTATATTGGAGTATAGCTGATTTACAATGTTGTGTTAGTTTCACATGTACAGCAAACTGATTCAGTTATATGTATACATATATCCATTCTTTCTTAGATTCTTTTCCCATGTAGGTTATTACAGAATATTGAGTATAGAGTTCGCTGTGCTATACAGTAGGTCCTTGTTGATTATTTTATATATAGTATTGTGTATATGTTAATCCCAACCTTCTAATTTATCTCTCCCACCCCCCCACCTTTCCCCTTTGGTAACCATAAGTTTGTTTTTGAAGTCTGAGTCTGTTTCTGTTTTGTAAATAAGTTCATTTGTATCAGCTTTTTTTAGATCCCACATGTAAGTGATACCATGTTTGTCTTTCTCTGACTTACTTCACTTAGTATGATAACCTCTAGGTCCATCCATGTTGCTGCAAATGGCATTATTTCGTTCTTTTTTATGGCTAGCGGTCCATTGTATATATGTACTACATCTTCTTTATCCATTCCTTTGTTGATGGACATTTAGGTTGCTTCCATGTCTTGGCTATTGTAAATAGTGCTGCAATGAACATTGGGGAGTGCATGTATCTTTTTGAATTATGGTTTTCTCAGGCTATATGTCCAGTAGTGGGATTGCTGGGTCATATGGTAGTTCTATTTATAGCTTTTTAAAGAAGCTCCATTCTGCTCTCCATAGTCGTTGTACCAATATACACTCCCACCAATAGTGTAGGAGGGTTCCCTTTTCTCCACACCCTCTCCAGCATTTATTGTTTGTAGACTTTTTGATGATGGCCATTCTGACCTGTGTGAGGTGATACCTCATTGTAGTTTTGATTTGCATTTCTCTGATAATTAGCAATGCTGAGCATCTTTTCATGTGCTTTTTGGCCATCTGTATGTCTTTGAAGAAATGTCTATTTAGATCTTCTACCCATTTTTTGATTGGGTTGTTTGATTTTTTGATAGGTATGATCTTTTAAAAGGTATTATGGCTATATTAGAAAAAGTAAAGCCTATTTAGAGAAACAAATATTTACAGATGAAATGATTTGCTTCAAAATCATATCAGGAGGGAGACTGAATAAGAGTACAGATGGACTAAAATAAACATGGTTTAGTGGCTGTTCGGATTGATGACAATACATAAGGGTTTGTTAAACTCTTCTCCGTTTGTATATATTTGAAATTCTCCATGAGTTGTTTTTTTTTAATCGTAATAATTCTGACACATGAATACAAATTTCAAAGTTTCTGAATAACACTTCTTAAAATGATGCTGTTAAATGGCATATAGGTTTCAAATACTAAGTTATTTGGTTATTCACAAAGATGGGAGAAGAATGTTTACAGCCAAAACTATAGTCATAGTGATACTGTAAGGACAAAGTTATATAGCCCAGCATTTCCTATTGGTATGTCGTTATATTTCAGAAAGACATCTTCGTTTGACTTAGACCAATGATTCTCAAAGTCAAGTGTGCATCTGAATGCCTGGGAACTTATGAAATATATGGATTCCAGGCCTTGGACCACAGAGATTCTGGTTATGAGATTTGGACTGGTACCCAGGAATTTACATTTCTAGTAAGCTTATTTATCGGCTATAATAATTGTTAAGGTTTTCATTTCATTGAGGTAGAGAAAACAAAATAATGCAATGGTGAAATATTTTAATTAAAGCTTATTGCAACAAAAATGCCTTCAAGGTTTTGTGGATTATTTTTTTTAAAGAAAATCTTTATGAAAGATACTATTTACAAATCAATCATCACTGTCATTGATGTTTCTATGTACTTTTATAATTGCATCATGACAAACTCAAAGAGGCTAAATGATAACAATACTGGCCCCAGAGTCTTCTCAGAACTCTTAATCAAGATACTTGTTTGTACTATGTTAGGTGTACATAGCCCATTATTCAGCCAAAGGCTTAGTTATATAGAAGGAAAAAGTTGAAAAGCCTGAACAGAAGTCCGGGTTTGTGTATATTTAGGTCAGTTGACAGCCATCTTCCTTTCAGCTGTGGCTCCTTCTCTCTCATTCTTCATAGTGTGGAATGGCACAGCGCAGGGCATTCGGTACCAGAAGCACAGGCAGCGTCATGTCCACCACAACAAAGAAAAAGGAGCCCCTAATTATGCTTGTTTAGAAGTGTGGTAAGTAAACATTAAGGGTTGTCGGGCAGAAAGAAGTGAAAAGAACTCTAGCATGATTGAACACCTACTATGTACCAGGTATGTGCTTTGCATATATTGGTTCAAAGGGACAAAGCTGCTGCTGAGCCACTACAGGAGTTCCCACTCCATTTAGCCTTTTGCAGTTATATCTAAATGATGTTCAACAATGAGGTTTCACTTTATTATGTTAGCATAATAGGAATATAAGGAGCCAGTGAAGGCATTATCTTGACCCAGACAGCCTACTGCAGAGTCCAAAAGATGCTTACTGAAAATAGGTCATTTATATACCAGAGTTCTTGAAAAAAAGAGGAACCATAAATGTGAATGGAATTAATGACATTATCCTTTTATCTGTTCTGAGGTAGTCATCAAAAGTTGTGGTAGAAGACATGCCTACTAAGTAGGAGTGCTATAATCTTGACGCTGAGGCAGGGGTTCCATGCCAGTCCCACTCTTTAACCGTGGTAAACTAAACAGGACAATTGTGGGGATCTCATCGATTCATTCGCATGTCTTACCTATTAGATAAGGTCTAATAGGAAGAGTTCATTTTACTACATCAATGAACTACAAATTATCATCACTTCAAGGCAAGTCTAAAATCTGTTTTGGTCTCAAATATCTGCGACTTCATTAAACACACCCAGAATAAATTAACATTGACAGTTTATGCTCCAGTAACGAATCTTCTGTAGCCTTTATTAAAGCCTGAAGTCTAGTTCCTTTACTCTTGAGATATTAAATGTGGGGTAAAACTTAATGGAAGTACTTTCTTACTAAAAACTGAACTTCAAGGACCTGTCCAGTACTGAGTGGATGGGGTCTATCCCTTTGTCAAGTGCCAAGTCTGCTGTTGCAAAGGTGAACGTGGAACTCGCAGCAGCAAGGTAAGCCTGTTCCCATGATCCTGCCATTTCTACAGTGAGCCTGCTCCAAGGATGAATGTTAAGTTTCATAGCTTCTGACCTTCAAAACCTAGCAAGATTATATAAATCAATCAGACCTGACAATGGTGATGATAGCTCACTGGGATTAAGCCCTGAGGTATCTGGTGATGGAATGGTGCCAGCTATGCTGCTCCTAGGATCTGTGTAGCGTAAGGATACGAAATGGGTACACTGCTTAGCGGCAGTGTTCCCCTTGACCTAAAAGGGTAGTGGAGGAGAGGCTGCTGTTCTCACTTGGGGGAGCGGAGGCAAGACCCAGGGGTATGGCCGTTTGCATTTTATACTCTGAACAGAGTGCTGGCTCTGGTGGATTTGTTGGCAGGCTGTCCTTGTCTCCAGAGGTGGGTGAAGCCAACTGGGACACATAATTCAAATTAGCTTCTCCGGCTGGGATTTCTCCCAGGGAATTCATGTAGTTTTGTTCCAGTGCCTTTAGTAAATTTTCAGGTGAAGTCAGTGGTCCCAGCTGATGTCGTGGGGCTTGAGGGGTTACTGGGAAATGTCCACAAGAAGCAAAGTCAGAAGCTGCCTGATTATAGGTGAAGTTCTCAAAACAGATGCAAGGTCCAGGGCCAGAGTAGTTCTTCTCCGTCGGAAGGAGGTAAAGGTAGGCAGGCTTAGTAAATTCAGTTTCTGTGGGTGACTTCCTAGTGCCTAAGAACTGTATCTTACTCCCTTCGGGCTTGTTTATAACTTCAATAGCATCTGGAACACAGTCGTTGACATACATTATTGTTAGATGAGGATTCTCCTGGAACAGAAACAAAAAATGTGCAAAGATAATGTGTGTGTGTGTATCACAGTATATAAAGTATGTGAAACGCACTTAGAGCTTCAGTTTTTGTTGTTTTATCCTGGTCACAAGTTAACTGGAGGTGATGTTGAAAACCAAAAGATATCCCGACAGAAGAAATCAAAGTTGTGTTCAACCCTTTCATGGCTATGGGAGCAGAAGAGGCTTTTGCTTTGTGACATCTTCCTGAGAAGGTCTAGGAGTGTATGATTATTATAGCCCCAGCCCTGGGTTGGTCTTTAACAAGCATATGAGTATCCATACAATTTCCCAGCATTTACCTTGGATTTTATTAATGACAGGACACTGCTCTTGTAAGGGTTTGGACTATCAGGATAACACTTCTCCTTCAGCCTAGAAAAACAGTGAAAATTAGACTGAATTTTGCAATATAGCGGAATGGTTAAGAGTGAGAACGCTGGAGTCAGACTCCTGGGTTCTAATCCGTGCTCTGTCAATCACTCATGAACACTGTAACCTTAAGCAAGCTTTTTAACCCTTCTATGCTTTAATTTCCTTACTGGTTCAATGGAGATCATTACGGTGGTGATGGTGGTGTTGGAAGCATTAAATGAATTGTTATATGTAAAGCACTTAGAACACTTCCAAGTACATGGTAAGTGAAATATAAATATTAGCTATTGCTATGAACAAATTTGGCAACATTTTAAAATAGTTGGTTTCCTTATTATTATTATTTTTGGCTGCGTTGGGTCTTTGTTGCTGTGCGCGGGCTATCTCTAGTTGAGGCGCGTGGGCTTCTCATTGTAGTGGCATCTCTTGTTGCGGAGCACGGGCCCTAGGTGCGCAGGCTTCAGTAGTTGCGGCACGCAGGCTCAGTAGTTGTGGCACGTGGGCCCTAGAGCACAAGGGCTTCAGTAGTTGCGGCACATGGGCTCTAGAGCACAGGCTCAGTAGTTGCGGCACATGGGCTCTAGGGTGCGCAGGCTTCAGTAGTTGTGGCACACAGGCTCAGTAGTTGTGGCTCACGGGCTCTAGAGCACAGGCTCAGTAGTTGTGGCACGTGGGCTTAGTTGCTCCACGGCATGTGGGAGCTTCCCGGACCAGGGCTCGAACCCATGTCCCCTGCATTGGCAGGCAGATTCTTAACCACTGCGCCGCCAGGGAAGTCTAGTTTCCTTATGTATTGATTTATTGCTTATCTGTTGATAAACAAGATTGTTTAAAACTTATCATATTTCCACCAAATCCTCCTTTGTTCTTTCCTTTTCAGCACTTTTCCTCATATTATCAGGTGTGACTTCTGTCTCCTTTCTAGATTTTTCTTTGACTCCTTCTTGGATAAAAACCTTCCCCGCACACTTACCACTGACTTTTTAAGTAGCAAATTATCATGACGATCAAAATGCAGAAAATCATGGGCAGGATGATGTGTATCAGTGTATGGGCTGGAGAGGAAAAAGAAAGGGATATTTTTAATGACTGCTTTTCCCTCAAAGGAATAAAAATAGTTTTACATGTCTTTTATTCCTCAAAACTCCATTTGTGCAAGGTTCAATATGAGTTCTGTCTGACTGCTGGGGGACAGGGCAGTGAGACCAACCAGCCAACACAGGGAACCATTTGCTCTCAACACTTGTGACTCAAACCCATACCTCTCCTGACAGACTGGATCATTACTCCCCATTCTTTACTCCCTCCCTGTATGAGAATTACACTCCACACACTTGACTTGTGGGCTCAGCCACGTGAGTTGGTTTGGCCAATGGGAGGTGAGTAGTGGTCATGCTGGTTGGTAGCTGCGTTCAGTGTGCTTGTAGTTGGCTTGCTCTCTTGTGTTCCTGTGACCCACTCTGAGAAGAGTTGGTCCCTCAGAGCCACTGTCCCTTCAGCCTAAGCCTCAGGGTGAACCTACATGGAACAAACCTGCCTGAAGCTTGGAGTCCCACCTGGCCCAGCCTACATGAGCCAAGCCAGGAGCATGAAAAGAGAGATTTAGTTTTGTATGCCATTGAGATTTTGAGGTATTTTATTACATGTCAAAAATTGATGAATGCACCCCTTCTAGTTAGGCTCTGAGAAAATTACCTAAGTCATCAGCCGGGATAACTATTCTATTTTTATTTCTCACATATGTCAACCTGTACTTCATTTTCATAAATGCCCATCTTCCTGGTCTCACTGCTTGCAAATCCGCCGAAGAATATTTCAGCTGGGTTGGTAAACATCCTCTTTTATAAAAGCAGATCGCACGAAGGGGTTTGGAGGCTGACAGTCATTCACATGTACATATATTCCTGTTCAATCCCTTTGCCTCCCTGCCCTCCTCATCCCCCTCCACAGCTGTCCTGCAGGAATGGGGCCTGACTTGTGGTGCTGGTGGATAACGCTGGAGTTTTGTCAGGGAGGGCAGGCCCAACCCAGTGCTCTGAGGAAGCACAGGGCTCTGGAGAAAAGGACATGGGAAGGTAAGAGGGTGGCAGAGAAAGCACCTCGACAACTGGCCTAAAATTATCCCTGACACCAGGTAAGGCGAAAGAAACTCCTCCTGACACCACTAAAGAACACCTTGCTCTTGGACTTCCCTGGTGGCGCAGTGGTTAAGAATCCACCTGCCAATGCAGGGGACACGGATTCGAGTCTGGGAAGATCCCACATGCCACAGAGCAACTAAGCCCGTGCACCACAGCTACTGAGCCTGCACTCTAGAGCCCTGTGCCACAACTACTGAGCCCACGTGCCACAACTACTGAAGCCTGTGTACCTAGAGCCCGTGCTCCACAACGAGAGAAGCTACTGCAATGAGAAGCCCGCACACCGCAGCGAAGAGTAGCCCCTGCTCACCACAACTAGAGAAAGCCTGCATGCAGCAACGAAGACCTAACACAGCCAAAAATAAATAAATAAAAATAAATCAGTACACATATGTTTAAAAAAAAAAAAAAGAACACCTTGCTCTCAAGAGCAGTACTTTTGATGACTACAATTGGTTTTAAAATTTGGTTAAATTACGAATTTGTAATGTATCTGAGAAGAAGCCTGGGGAGCTACCCATAGTAGTTTCCAAACTTCAGACAGGCTTTGCTAAACTTTTTGTTGAAGTATAATATGTGCATACAGAAAAGTGCTCCTAAGTGTACAGCTCAATGAGTTTTCACAAACTGAACGTACCCACGTAACCAGTACCCAGATCAAGAAAAAGAACGTTACCAGCTCCCCCGAGAGTCCCCCAGTGTCCCCATCCAGGCATCTTCCCCTCCCACGGTAACCACTAGCCTGCCTTTCAACCACATAAACAGCATTTGCCTCTGTCTATACTCTATGGGTGGAATTGTGCAGCAAGAGCGGGGCCCGGCTTCTGTCACTCACCATTGCATTTGTGAGTCCTCCATACTATTTTTCTAACTGTGGACTGTCATTCTCACTGCTGCAATTATGCAGCAACTTAGTTTACTTTTTCATAATAATCAATATAATCGAGTCACAGCCAAGGCTAAGGAGGTTTCTCATGCGTAAGGGAGATAAATGAAGTCTAGAAAATATACTTGAGATAAAGATAATCATATGTTTTATATGTGTATGTGTGTGTGTGTGTGTGTGTGTGTCTTACACATACTCATACACACACCTCTACCAGCCAAGTAAATACTGAAGCTGGAAGAAAAACATCCTGAAAATAAATTTAAAATTAACTCTAAAATGGCAAGCATGCTCAAGTAATGTGAGTTGTTGACTGAAATCTTAACCTGACTATGAGAGTTCTGGCCTTTGGCTTAGAGACCTGGGGCCATGTTTCAGCCCCAACCTGCCACTGTGGTCCTGGGCATCCTCATCACCAGTTAGGCAGCCAGGTCCAGTGGTTCTACCTGACGAGCCCACCCCATCCCCAGAGCCCCACCTTATGCTACTTGGCAACTCAGGCAGATATTTTAGCCTATTTGTTTTTCATGGAGGCGTATCTCGAGAGGTCCTTTCCAGCGTGGACCTCCTATGATGCCTATCTGCTACCTACTTTCCCCGCTTTCCTCTGTCAGTATCTGTTTTCTCCCACCACCTTCCTCTTTGTTGGAGGGCAGGATTTACCAGCAGAATCTTATTTACTAGTAAGCTGCCATTCTTCTCCCTTCCTCTTCTTTCTCCATCTTTCAAGACAAATGTATTTTGAAAGGATGGCTCTCTTTATCTCACCCTTTCCCCATCAAATCTGCAAACACCAGGTTCGTGAACCAACACTGCTTGCCCCACCATACTTTCTAGTACCCCCAGAGACGCAAGGTCAAGAAGCCAGTAATTTGCCACTGAGAGAAACCAGCCAGAAGGCTGGCTGCAGACAGCAGTTCTGCTGAGAAGAACATCCCCACCCCTCTTGCAGACAGAACTCACAAGGCTCTTCCCAAGTCAACACTAAAATACACCATCAGTGATTTTCAAACTATTCTGGGACTGAGTTCCAGAGAAGTGCCTCAGGGGCCAGAGAGAGGCAAGAGGAAGGTTCCAGGTTATAGATCAGTTGGATTAGCTTCACTCTTATCTATTTTATGTAGTGGGATTCTGCGTAACATTTCCTTTTTTTTTTTTTTTTGGTGAGTTTCATCTAGAGAAAGAAAGAGACAGACACAGAAAGAGAAGAAAGGTTTAAAAATTCCCAATCTAGACAAAACCCATGCCCATGGTGTGGGTCATCTGTCAGTTTCCCAAGAACTGCTAAGAGTTTTGATTTGGAGAAACTCACAGTATTCATCCAGAGTTGTGACCTTTGTGAAGGCATCCAGGGGACCCTCGCCAACACTTGTGTAAGGAGTGACGATAAACTCATAGACGGATTCCGGCTGTAGATTTTCCACAACAAATGTCTTTTGTTCCGGGTTGTCAATTGTGTATTTGCAACAAACTGAATCCTCTGTGAGTTTAAAAAAAAAAAAAAAATTTTTTTTTTCAAGAAAAAACTATTAAGAGCGTGATAAAGATCTTGTGAGACAGTGGGGCACTAATACTCTTGTTGACTTGGCACTGCCAACATTTCTAAACCAACCAAAAATGAAATCATAATTTCATCACACTGGGGACACTGGTAAAATATTCGGGAGACGGCAAGCAAAGCAAGCACCCCACTAAACAAGGGATGTTCCTGATCCAGGGGAAGCACTCAGACCTGCCAGAGAGAGAGTAAGAGCCTGCCAGTGCTTCTTAGATATACATTTTAATAAACTTTAATGAAGTCAAAGAAAAAATGAGGTTAGCAAGAATGTTTCCTAAGTGGTAGGTTTTCTTAAGGAGCTGAGGGTATTTCAGGTGCTTCTAAAAATACTGGGCCACATTGTTTTTAAGTAAGTTAAAATCCTGGCCCCCATGGTCTTGTCCACCCTACTAATTTGTTTAAGAACACCATTCCATCATAAAAGCACGTGAGCACAGAATTCAGCCTGGCCACAGTCAGAGACGGCCGGCAGCCTTTCCAATGATTTCAAATAATGAGACCTTGAAACGGTAAAGAGACCAAAAAAAAAAGTCACCTGGAAGAACTGTCTTTTCAAATGCCGGGTGGCACTGCTCCCCCGCCTTGGGTTTCAGGTAGACATGGTATCCTTGTATAAAGCCAGGTTGGGATTCAGTGGAATAATCCTTCCAACTCAGAGTGAAGGAGCGGGAGGTCAACTTACTCATGACCACTTGAGGGTTGTCTGAAGGAGCTAGGAAAGGAAGTTGGGATAATGTAAGATTTACGATTTGGTAAGAGTCTCACTGCACTGGTGTAAATTGAAAGCAGAACCACGGCCCACTCTGTAGGCGCATGTGCCAAGTGAAGGAGTCTCATCTTTTTTTCTAGAGGATGTACGCCCTGACTTAGCTCGTGAGAGCTGGGAAGGAGTTGAGCAATCATCTTGTTCAAGCCTTACATCTCTCAGGTGTAGAAATGGATGCCCAGAGAGACTCAATAACTTGGCAAGGTCACACAGCAAAAAAGAAAGGCTTTCCTAGACTTCATTCTGAGTCTGAATTCTCAACAGTGTTTGGGAAGATGAACTGAAGTAGGGAGGAAGGGAGGAGGAGGAAGGGTTATGTTTGAAGAGGTATGGGCAACTTTGAAGAACTCTAGTTCCCAAGTGGTAGCAGTGCACAATTGTCCAGGTGTCACAGGGAGAATTGGAAAGCGTTTATTCTGAGGCTTCCCTGAGAGCCTGTTTCAGCCACATACGCTGGTGCACACCTGGCCTATGTCCGCCAAAACACACAACACACCCTTCCTGCCTGTCTGGGGTAGCTCCCACCCAACGGAGAACCCCAAGAACTGGTCTGATTGCTGAGAGGCAATCAAGGACACAGCTGCCCAGCTTCCAGTGGGTGTGAGACCCTGGATGCCGAGAAGGTGAATTAGCAACCACATGGGAGGATCAAAACTCCCCCACACTGCTGGTGGGATCATGGTACAATTTCTGGGGGGGCAGCGATTTCACAATATCTACCAAAAGTCTTAAAAATTATAAAATTGTATTTAAGAAGTTCAAACCTTTTGGCTCGAGTACTCTACTTCCGGGGCGTTGTTGAAAAACCATTATCAGAGCAATGAACAAAGATTCAGCTAAAATGATGGTGAGTCAGATAGGGCATAAGAGATTTGGCCAAGAAAGAAGAGAGAGATTGAGTATTTGAGACTGCAACATAACTGAAGGTGAATTTTATAGTTTTTAATTGAGAAATATTTTTGTAATCATCCTAAAAGTCCAACGACAGGTGATTTGACATATGCAAACCACGAGGCACTTTGCAGTACTAAAAACTGATACAGTTAAATATTACTTAGTGACATGAGTCAAAAAGCACTTTATAAAACTGCATAGAGTAGTAATAAAAAAGATCCCATGTTTATTTAAAAGTGTATATCTGTACTGAGAAAGGATACACATAAAATATTAACTCTGGGTATTTGCCCTTGGGTGGTAAAATTAGCAATCATTTTGTCTTCTTTTGCATAACATCTTATAAGTTGTCTTTAATGAAAATGTTTTCTATTTGTATGATTAAAAAATAACTTTTTAAAAAACCCCATTGCCAGAATAAACAGGACACTGAAAATTAGGAAAGGTGCTGTAATCTTCCTAAACCCAAAGTGAAGAGTTTCTGGATTGTTCTGAACAATGGACACATTAAATGCTTTAAACTTACCCAGTTCCTCCAAGTATCCTGCTTTTTTCTCTAATAAATGAGCCATCCTTCTGGTAGAAATTCCATAAATTCTGAAGTTGTATCGAACCCCTGGTCTAAAAGCACCTAGAGAAGAAAAGTCAACAGATTTTCAATAGCACAGGATGCCATTCTCTTTACTTCTGAAAAGAAGAAGAATGAAAAATGAATTTGTGTCCCGTTAAGAATTTCCTCCTCGGGGTTTCTGCCCTTCATCGCCACCATCTTCCCTCCTTCCCCTGAATCCTCCAGCATTTCCGACGAAGTCTGGGCGACTGTCCTCTACGTCGTCCTCTTGATCAAGAGCTCGCAAACATGCCCTTATCCACGTGCATGCAACTGGGCGCAGAATTCAACCAGACACAGAAAACCATGTAAAACTCTCCTTTGACTCCAAATCCCCTGCCAGCGACTGGCCTTCTCTCTGCCCATGAAGGGCAAGCATCTGGAAGATTTGCTTCCAGTACGTCACTTTCCCCTCACCCCACACCTCTGAACCATGCCATTGACACTGTTCAAGCCAAGGGAAGACTCCCCTTCTCACTCCCCACCAGCCACTGAATGCCCTCCTGGAGTCTCATCAATCACCCTCTGGACCCGGACAATTCCCACATCTTTATCTTGAGTCCAGCAGATGGCGCCACCAACACCCCACCCCCCACCCCCCACCCCTAATCAAGCCACAAACCTAGGCTCCTTGAACTGCTACACTAGTAATCTCGAAATGACAAATCCAGTGTGGGAGGAAAGAGACCAAGTTCTATATGTTCCATTGAAACTGAAGTTGATAATTGGCTCCCATCAGCTCTACTCCCATGTTTCCCAAATCCACACACTTCTTTGCTTTTGTAAAAGCTCTCAGAACAACTGTTATAATGTCCCTCTGCCATTCATTTGAGACTGCTGACTCACTGCTGAACAAATTCATGAAACTCATGAACACCTATTCCAGCCTTTGGTCCAGATAGTCTCTGTAAAAGTAGATATAAAGGTCAAAACTTAGACCACATCACTGCAAAATTGGAACTCCAAGACCCACGCTGGACTTGTAGTTATCAGTTGAGCACAAAGTATCTGAGATGATCCAGAAACCCCTGTTGAAGTTGCTGCCAGGTGAATGGAGCAGCATGGTAATACAGAAGGTTCTTCTTACCCGAGCGAATGACTGTGCTTGTGGTATTGGGGCCTAGGTTTTTCCACTGGAGAACACAGGGCAGGTCCTGGGGACCATCACACCACTCCACAACATAGCCTGTGGCATCTCCGGATTGGGGTTTCCAAGACACAGAAAATCCATCCTCTGTGCCGTTAACTCTTCCTTTTTCAACCTCTTCTGTACATACAAAGAGGGCAATGCTTCAGATTTAATTAATCATACATTTTGCAAAAATATCTAAAGAAGAAAATAAACTTGAACGTGCAGTGTATCTAGCAGGTAAAAGCCCTACCTCTGCAATTGCTACGGGGCTTGGGTTAGGGCAGGAGGGATCTTTTCCTGCCTCTCACTCCAAACAAATATTCACACCTGCCCTTCAGATGCCCCCTGTCCTGATCTTCTGAGACCCAAAGGGACGTCAGCCCTTAAAACAGGGATCAGCAAACCACCGCCAGCAGGACAAATCCAGCCTTGGAAGCTTGTTTTTATATGACCCTTAAGCTAAGACTTGTTTTAAGATTTTTAAAGAGTTTTTAAAAACAAACAAAAAATACAGAATATAGATTGGAGACTGTCTGGTCTATAATGCCTAAAATATTTACTCTCTGCCCCTTTACCGAAAATGTTGTTGATCCTTGACCTAGAACTGTGTCTGGTACTTGATCTGCTTTCAAAAATCATCTGTTGAATGAATGAATAATTTGGCTTAATTGTCCCACATAATGCTGGCTGCTCCTGAACTAACTACTGTCTCCTAGATTTTAGGGGCAGAAACTGAGGTGAGTGTGGAGAAAAAAGGAAAGAACAATTCAGGTATGTACTAAGCCAGATTATGAACGGATGTGCACGTTACTTATGACCTAGGATACCACCTCAACGTATTTTATGCACCAGGGTAGTTTTCCTAAGGTCTGACAATTGGAAAAAAGGTGATACGGTCTCAATGGACTACAGTTCTACTGATTTCAAGCGGGTCAGCCTAGATATTGAGGGATGAGAATTTCTCCTATTTCCGAGGCTAACTCCACAGCCTGCCACTGTTCAGAGGGCAGTGGTCCCTGGTGGTCAGTCGAGTGAAATCAGACTCTGATCAAGGGGTGGACCTGCAAGCAGCTGTTCAGAGAGGCAGCCAGTGTGGCGCAAATGTTACATGGGACAGACTTAACACTCAAAATGTACTTGTTGCTTCTCTGCAATTCATATTTAACTGGGCATCTTTAATTTATCTGGCAATTCTAATTAGAGCTGAACATTGATGCGAAAGCAGGATGCTATTACATTTTCTAGGGCACCAAATTATCACCCAGCTGGGAACACCGAAAGGAATGTGCAGCCCCAGGCATGAGGCGAGAGGTTCCCCAAGAAGGCCTGTGCCTATCCTACCCACATGGCTTCTCTGTCTTCCTTCATCAGAGAGACAAATCTCTTTCATATTAAAACTGACATTTTCTACTTCACTTATTCACACTGACTAAAATTTCACCCCAAACTTAGAAGCATGACTCTTACTAAGCTGCTTCTTTAAAATTGCAAATATGTTTTGAGGAGTGGAGGTAGAGGGAAAGAGAAAGGGAATCTGTCTATTTTCTTTTTCTTCAGTCATTCACACTCTAGTGTGAATTGGCTAAACCTCCTTGGTCTGTCTCAGAGCACGTCAGTGCCTTTATCCACTCTAGAGACTTAAGAATGTGGACCACATCAGGAAAGCTGGATAGGGCTTCACAAGGTGAAGGAATGGGTTCTAAAGGCAGGGCATGGGGAAGGAAGGTATGATAGGAACCCACAGATAGGGATGACCCCATACAGATAATAGTGTTTAGCAGAGTTGTTTGAGCTGAGCCTCATTGGAGGCAGTGTTTTTTTAATCTGTCAGCTCCCCCAGGGTGAATGAAATGCCCACCTTTCCCGTTCGGCCCTAATAAAGACAGAATACAACTATTCACTTCCTTCTCTAATACAGTTCTTGACAAGCAAAGATTAGGTTAAGTGACTCCTTAGTTTTTCTCCTGTGGCACAATCCCAATTTCTTTTTCTTACTTGACACACGGAATAGTTCTTAAACAAAGTAAATAAAACAAAATAATAACACCCTCTAATCTAGCCCACTTAACCTAAATTTAAGCCTAATTTGAATGATAGGTATAAAGCAACGTGACATAACCCTACAAGCAGGGTCTGAAAATTTTTATAGCAGTAACTGAAGGGTGACATTATTGCAAGGTTCATGAATGACCTTAGGATGTCTGTTGGGTCATGTCCAAGTGTGCAGTGTCTCAGAGTGTGTACTGCTGGGGGCGGGGTTAGTGCAGCCAACCTCTTTTCACAGCTCTCCCAAGAAGGAAATTTACACCATTATTAATTGTACACATAAGGTCATTTCCACCTTGTTTGGTCTCTCACAGGCTAAGGGTTTAGCCAGTTATCACCATTTTATTCCACAGCTTTGGCAAAGCCCTTCTCGAAAGATGATGCTAGCTCTCCTCATGATGTCCAGAAATGTTCCTGGGCTCTTTATAGGTGGCCAAGACTGACAAAATATTCTGCCATATAATAAATGCACCTCATGTTTCATAAGCCACAAAGCACTTTCATACCATCTCTAACTCTCAGCTGGGACTGTTTGTCGGTGTTGCATTTATTTGAATAAATTTGAGACAATTTCCCAAGTTGGTGGAAGAATCCCTGAGATATGGCTGAAACCTTCTTCCCACACAAAGGAGGACTGCGCCAGAAACCCGCTGACACGCCTGAACCCAAAGAAAATGACGGACAGTGTTTGACAGCTAGATCTTTTGTCTCCCCAAATTACTGTCTTTCTGATTTATCCATCTCTGCCTAATAACACCATCAACACTTTTCTAGAGAAGAAAAACAAAACCAAAAACACTCACCGTTTCCAGGGTCTCCAGAAACAACAATTACGGAAGCAGGAGAAGGACCCACACTGTTGTGAGCTGTGACATGGATTTGGTAAGAACACTGATCGAGGGTTAGTTCTGTGCTGCTGGCGGGAGCAGGGATGGAGAGGACCTCGAACCTGGATGGCTTGTCTAGATTTTCTACAATTACATTATAGAACAGGATCTTCCCGTTGGCATGCACTTTTGATAGTGGCTGAAAAAAATATTAAACAATCATTTCAAAATGGGCTTTCCTCTGAAAAGAGTTTCTGTCCCTTGATTGAACACACACACACACACACACACACACACACACACACACACCTGGCTAATTAAAACAGCTTAAGAGAGAAAATAACCTTCTAAACCAAGCTTGAAACCAGACATTCTATTCTAACTAAAATTGAGCAGAGAATAGGATCATTTGGGGGAGATCTCAGAGTATACTGTGTCCAGAGAGGAGTGACCAAGTCAGGAATAGAGAGAAAGGGGGACTCTTTAGCCTGGATTAAAACACACTCAGTGAGTATGGAGTGGGAAAGACAGGAGTAGACCCAGACGGAAGGGGCCTGAACCTCCGGCCTACCTTCCCGAGGACAGACAGTGCCCCTGGTGTGTGCACCCCCAGACCTGAGATTGGGCTGGGGCAACTGTTAGCTTGGGGTGTGGACAAAACCTGGACATACAGACTGGCACGTCCACATGTGTGTGCATGGGGGTCCTCCCTGGTGGGGAGGACCGGAGTGGAGATGGGAAAAAGAGTGGGGTGGCCTGCGGCCAAGGACCAGCTCCCTCAGCATGGCCATGCTTTAGCATCAAACACTGAGGAATCCGAGAGTTCTTAACGCAAACCAGGCCTTCCACGTTGTCGTGAAGGCATGTCAGTTAAGATAGAAAGACAAGATTAATTTTATATTGCAGTTTTTTAGCTTGACTTATAACTTTTAAATATAAATACTCTGAATAGTTAAATATTTATAACTTTTAATTATGGTATATATTTCTCCACTTATACTCATGGACTGGGCCCTGCAGATGTTAGGGGCAGGCCTGAGGAGAAGTTAGGAGATGCAGTTCTAACAAGCAGAACTGGCCACCACTGTGCAAGAGGGTGCTGAGGAAGGAGTTACTGGTCCGGCGCTGGGGACATGGATGTGGAGCTGGGATTCCTCCACTGGGTAACAAATTCTACTGGATTCATGTTAACAGCCCTCCCCATCAGAAGACTGCACCAATGTCTAGTTTCAGTGAAAGATAAATGCCAAGCAAAAATCTGTCTCTTTGAACGTCTGCATCTCACCTTCCAGAATAAACTCACAGTAGGATGTCCCGACACCAGCTTCAAGTTTCTCCAGACATCGGGAGCCTCTGAGGGAGCTGAAATTAACCAAAGAAAAGCTCTAGGGTCACAATATGCACATACAATAATACATTCAACCTTTCTCTAATTTCGTCAACAAAAGTGACCACGGCCTGTCCTGCCTGAGCCTGCTTCTCGCTTTTTCACTCTCTGTGATTTCTACCCACTTGGCCGCGGCCATACTGGTCTCGCCTCACTAGGGGCACACAGTAGGTGCTTTACAAAAGGGCTGCTACATCTGAATGGGACATCACATGGGGCCTTTGTGAACTCAAGCCTCAGAGCTTCTGGAAGCCACCAAGGAATTTTGGAATCCTTTGTCAGTCCAATTCTAGGGGGTTAGTCAGGTAAATTTCCCATATTTGGAATTTCTAGGAGCAGCAGACTGTTGCTATTTCCTTGCCCCACTTGTGAAGGTTGCAATGGACACACCCAAGTGGACAGCCCCAGGGGAAGGCTGCACTCTTCCCCGAGTTCCTAACTGCACACAGGCTGGCCTGTCGCTGCAGTCAGAGCCTGGGACCCCTTCCTTGTCACCCTCCTCCCCATGCACGCCCAGCCCCCCAAGTTCCTGGCCTGGGCCAGCTGCCTGCATGTGGACCCTCAGGGCACTGGCTGCACGCCTCTCCCCAGCATATGCCTCTCCCCACTCTGTTCTAGAACAGCTTGCTTCCTTGTCTTTCTTGCCAGTAAACGGTAGGACCAGTGATTTATGATTTGCTTCAACACATCTCTGTTCAAGAAGCATTGTTTTGCAACATAACACATACAAATTTAGTTCTCTGTTTCATAAAAATATAGTTTACAGTCCCCAATAATTGAAATTTAAGAAAGTCCTTTTTTTCCCCCTTAGTTACTGACACTTTCTACTCAACATAAAGGTGACCATATATTTTTAAAATCTATTAGAGGCAGATTTCAATTTTCTCAACAAGCCGTCAGAGAAGCCAATATTAAATCAAAAACATATTGAAATACTCAATGAGAGACCCCCAAGCTCAATGCAGAATCTTCAGCTGGTTTGTACAGGACTACCTGCAAGAAAAGAGAATTGCAGCACAGTTGACGGTGCTCCATCTTTATGTCAATATAATTTCTCCCATGGTGTCATTTAGCTCTGCTCACCATGATTCTGCTTAAGTAGGATTATAATACACATAAACATTGACTTTGCCAGCATTAAGCAAAGTGTTATTCAAGATGAAAACAAAATCTATGGATTCACCATCAGTAGATTCATCTCATTTTCTTGTCATCATCGAAAGCAAAGTTAAGTATTTTGCAAGTTTATGATACTATAATCTAAAAGAAACTATTTACTAAAAATGCCATCTTTCTGTTATTTTTCATTACACTAAATTTTAGGTATAATGTTGGAATAAATTTGCAAAAAAATCCCAAAGCAATGCAGTATTAATAAAGTAAAAATTCTTTAATGAAACACAACCGAGGAATAAACCAAATTACCATCAGGAACAGGGCTCTGGAGGGGACTACCCCCCAAGAAAAATGACTGGACTCTTGGAGGGGAGTGGTGGGGGGCTGACAAGGGGAGGAGGCCTGCTGAGCACCTCTGGTGACCAGCCCTGGGTGTGGGTTTTCAGGCACTGCCCTCACCAGCCCGCCAATCAGAGTCACTGCTTTAAAACGTTCCCCCCAGGCTGAAACAGAAAGAACTCACCAGCTTACAAACACAAATAATAAGATGGAATAAAATAAATAGATATAATCCTTTCTTAGGCAGCAAAATAGCCAGGACTTGAATCACAAAGATCTCCAGGCTGTAATGACACCCCCGAGAGACAGACCACGCAGATGCCAGTCTGGGTCAGATCAGGGGGGAGCTCTGGAGTCAGCCAGCCTGGGCCTGAGCTACACTCACAGCTCAGTCCCTTGCTAGCGGGGCCAGTTAAACTCCTCACCCTCCTTGGGCCTCCGCGGCCTCATCTATCAAGTGAGGATAATAACAGGACCTACTGCATGGTGGGAGGATTTGAAGGGAAAACATTGCAAGCACTTGGAGCTGTGTCTGGCACATACTAAACACTAGATAAACGGTAACTGCCCTGGTTACTGTTGTCACGTCTCTGCCCTTCATTAACTCTGCAAACCAGGCATGTCTCCCCAGTTTAGGGGCCCAAGTTGTTTCATGTGTAAAGTGGGCAACAGTAAGACTTTATCATCTGGGATTGGAAGGAGGTGAAAGCAAGGCTGGGCCATCTCATCTCCTGAGGTTTATCTGAGGTCTAAGACATAGTTATTTGGGGGAAAAAGTCATTCATTCAGTCATTATTGAGGAAATGACCCTTAAAGCATGATGAGAAGGCTCCCAGTTTGTTGTCATGGGGGGGGGGGGCGCGACCAAAAACTTTACAATGAGGATTCAGTTTCCAAATACCATTACATTTCCAAACAAACACAGCCCGAGGCTGTTTAGCATGAGATCAGTGCTTTCCTCAGCACAAAGCTACTGCTTGTCCCCAGTCCTGAATTAAAAGTTTGTACTAATTTACACAGCCCCAGATCCAACGGGAATCCAGCAATACCTTCAGCTTAGAAACCACTTTGGCAAATTGAAGATCAGAGAGAAAATGTTCAGTAGAAATAACTCAGATGGCAAATGTCTGAGGTAGATATCTTCCCACTCATATTTCATTAGGCATTTAATTTAGTCTTTTGTTGTTGTTGTGTTTTAAAGATGGTACCAAGCCTCTTTCCCCCGAGTTTTTGGTACAAACAAAAGTTCTCAGAGAAGCCCACCCGTCTCTTGTCAGTCAGTTTAGATCCTTGGGATGTCAGGGAGCGGAACGTACCAGCTTCAGCTGTGTTGAATTTTTGACTAATCAATTCACTCCATTTCCAGAAGTGGTTGGTATAAGCACAGCGTACTCGGGCCACATATTCTGTGTCAGGCTCCAGTTCACTTAAGAGGTACTCACCATTCACCTTGATGGAAACATTGCTTTGCTTAATTAAAAAAAAAAAAAAAAAAAGGTTGGGGGGAGAAGAAGACAGAAGTATTGGTGAGCATACTTCATTGCAAAGCCAAATCACACACAGAGTAAGACCTGATTTGGAGTAAGACTAGTTCTTCTTTGAGAAAAAAAAAATCTCTAAACTCTAAAAGTTTATGATTAATTTCCTGGACCTTTTAAACAGATGACCCATATCATTTGAACACACATAGGAATAAGAGTTTAAAGAGATTTCACTCACCAGTCTCTCTGTTTAGACACAAAGAAATTCTTGAAAATAGAAAGTTAAACACTTACTTGTATCACTTTTCCTTCAGCAAGGAGTTCAAGCTGACACAAAAGTGTGGAATTGTTTCCAATAGAGTGTACCTTCCAGGTCATGGTGGCTTTTGTGGCACCAACATTTTTAGGTAATAAGTTATAGGGAGTCATTGGATGAACTGCAAAAAAAAAAAAAAAAAAGAAAAAATTTCAAGCACAGATCCAAAAGGACTGGTAAATAGGCAGTTCATTTTTACATTGATTTGTTCAATAAGCATTTTTGTTTATTTCTGAGAAAATGGCAAACAAAACCAGACTTGCAGCCAAGATGGAGTAAGCCAAGTATAGCCTTTTCTCTGATTACATTAGAAACTCTGAACAAATACAAAAAGAAACTGAGGACTCTTAAAATTAAACAAAAGCAGGCAAGAATGCAGAGAGGAGTGGCCCATCAAAGAGAATGTAACAGAACCCAGAGTCTAACCAACATAACATTAACAGTTTCAAGGATACAATCCAAAATTATTAGACATACGAAACAAAACCAAAAAAGAGAAAGTGTCACCAATTTTCGAGGAAAAAGACAATCAGCATATGTCAACTTTGAGATGACCCACGCCTCAAGATGACTCCCTTAGAATGCTACAATTAGATAAAGAGTTTAAAACAGATCCATGAGGTATAAGTAAATGCATCCAGGGACTTCCCTGGTGGCGCAGCGGTTAAGAATCCACCTGCCAATGCAGGGGACGTGGGTTCGAGCTCTGGTTCAGGAAGATCCCACATGCCGTGGAGCAGCTAACTAAGCCTGTACCCCACAACTACTAAGCCTGCGCTCTAGAGCCCACAAGCCACAACTACTGAAGCCCATGTGCCACAACTACTGAAGCCTGTGCACCTACAGCCTGTGCTCCGCAACAAGAGAAGCCACCGCAATGAGAAGCCCGCGCACCGCAACGAAGAGGAGCCCCCGCTCGCCACAACTAGAGAAAAGCCCACGCACGGCAACGAAAACCCAACGCAGCCAAAAATAAATAAATTTATTAAAAAACCAAAAGTAACTGCATCTGAAATGAATAAAAGGAAAACACTTCTCAGCAGAGAAACAGAAACTATTTTTTTTAAAAAAAGAATTAAATGGAAATTTCAGAATGGAAAAATAGAATATCTGAAATAAAAAAACCTTCCACCTTACGGACTTCCACAGTTGCTATGTGACCTGGCCACTGCCTACCACTCCAATCTCCTTTCTCTCATGGGAAAGACACAAAGATATTCTTCCCTGCATGAAACACCCAGAGCATGTTCCCACCTCAAGGCCTTTTCAAATCCTGTTTTTTTTTTTTTTTGCGGTACGCGGGCCTCTCACTGTTGTGGCCTCTCCCGTTGCAGAGCACAGGCTCCGGACGCGCAGGCTCAGCAGCCATGGCTCAGGGGCCCAGCCGTTCCACGGCACGTGGGATCTTCCCGGACTGGGGCACGAACCCGTGTCCCCTGCATCGGCAGGCGGACTCTCAACCACTGCGCCACCAGGGAAGCCCTCAAATCCTGTTCTTTTGCTCCAAATGTTCTCGATGTTTTCTGCCTCCTCATCCTTCAGTGCCCTCATCCCAACTGAAGCAGCACCCCAGGCATTCTCTACCCCTCACCTGAATTTTATCTTCTTTCCAGGACTTAGCGATGCTTGAAATTATGTTATTAACTTGTTTACATGTTTACCGTGTGTCTCCATGCCCCACTCTCAACCCTCTCTCCAAACACACACTAGCATGTACACACATTAGGGGCAGTTACTCAACTCTGTTCACTGCTGGGTGCCCAGTGCCTGCTACATTGGTGGCACCCTGTAATTAGGTGACTGAAGTGATCATTAAGTTGAAATCTAAATGAGGTGTAGAATTAAGAAGGCAAAGGAGAAGTACAAGAGTTCCAGAAAAAATGAACAACGAGTTTAAAGATACTGCATTTCATAAGAGAGGCAGGGGTGTGGTCAAAACATAGAAAGAGATATTCAACTTCAGGGTTGTGCAGATCCAAACCATTGCAAAATACCACTTAACATCCATTCAACTGACAAAAATGCAAAGGGTGACAAAACCAGCTTGGAGAGAATATATTGGTACAACCACTTTGGAAGCGAATTTGGCATTATCTTGTAAGTTGAAGAACATTCACATTTTCTGAGTCCTCACCAATTCCATTCTTAGGTATATAGGTATATACGCAAGAAAAACAGCTACAACTCTAGGTGTGTACTGGATATGTATATCAAAATGCTCTTATTAACACTGTATCCAAGAGCATAAACCTTGCGAAAATCTGAAAATCCACCAAAAGAGATGCATGAATAAAACACTGTATATTTATGCAATGAAATACTCTACAGCAGTGAAAATGGACAACAACAACACTCAATAATATGGGTAAATATTAGCAATTTAATATTGTATAACAGCAATTACTAGCTTGATGTGTCATATACATTAAAACAAAATAAAAACAGTATTTTGGGGATTTCATAAGAAAATGAGAATATATACACATGCACACACATGATTTAAATCTGTTATCTTAGTGGAAGGAGCAGGGTGGGGGGCTGTGGGATGGGAGATGAAGTAAGTTATTGTCAGATTTCTATTTTGAACTTGAGGTAAGCTCGTTGGTGTTTATTACATTATCAAAATAAACAAATAATGGGGACCACAAGTCATGCACGCACCCAAGTTTATAACTTGGCACAAACAAGTTATAAACTAAAACCTTCACTTAGGATGTGAATTAGGTGAAAATCTACGGCACATTTACTTGATCACACAGTGTGTCAAACAAAGATTCGCTCGTGACCACAGTGGGCTACACTCAAGTCTCACCTCGTTGGGTCAGGTTAAAAAGAATACTGACACTTCTTTTTCTTAAGTAGTTTTCAGCCAGGAGTGTGAAGTTAAAAGTTTCTTGTGAGTCTTGAGCTACTTGCCAATCACACCAGTTTCTGTGTTTACAAAGTGTCTTTTTTCCGGAAAATCTTAAAGAAAAAAAAAAAACAAAAAACACCACACAACAATTTCAGGGTTTACATTTTTGTCAATGCAGATATGTATCCCTGAATCCACTGAGTACCCCTGAGACACACTCAGTGGCTTTCAAACTATGTTCCACACAACAGCATCGATCCGTCACCAACAAATACCAATGACGAAAATATTGTTTCAAAAAATTTGACCTATGCGGTTAAATGTGTAATGATGAATTGCTGACTTCTCCTCTTGGGTGGTGAAAACTTTCCTTAGTTTACTTTGGATACCCTTAAAAAGGTAGAAATTAGGTAGACCTAGATTACCACATGGAACTATTTTCATATCAAGATTCACCATTAACAGCCTTTCTTATCATTTTTATGCTACATTGTCCTTTAACAAAACTCAGGTAGAAAGTATTGTATACCTGAGACCACTTGAAGATTTCTTCCTGACCCTGGCAGGTGGTTTGAAAATATTTGTTCAAATTTTCTGTAACACTGTCACAAGTACCTTAAACAAGGAAGAATCCGTCACTAATGTAACCAAAGCTCACTTACGATTCAAATAAAGTATAGCTTTGGGAAGGCTGTTTAGTCAAGCCAGTGTCGCTCCCGGGATCCCAAGTACAGGTCAAAGTCTTGAGGTCCTGGGTTTCACAAGAAAAGTCCTTGGGCTCTTCAAGCACTTCTGTCCATACAAGGAAAAAACAGATGAAAGACCTAGCTGAAGCTCTTTATCGAAAGACAAGTGAAATGGAAAGTTCTCTTTGGGGTCTGAGGCCACAGAGTTGCTCTGAACAATGAAAAGATTACTTCAATGGGGGCCAACCCATCAGCAGCTCCAGAAAGGCACACTGCGGGTACCTCATCTTGGTCCCTACTCTTTCCTTCCCTGGTGCTTTGCTGGGGTATCACCGAGGATGGCAGACGTGTACTGCATGTGGTCTGCACTCTGTCTACCTGATGAAAGTTGTAGCTCCAGTGCCTGCTAGCAACATTCAACAGTACTGCTACATGCAGACAGAGTGAACAGAACAACGAATGAATGGGGGGTCAGCGTTGCTTGGTGTTTCATTGTAGATGCCCTGGCTTACAGGGAACCTGGGCTGTGCTTGGGATGCCGGGAAGCCAGATCTGGGGACCCTGCTAAACTCAGCAGCTGGAGGCTGAGAGTTCCAAGAAATGTACGGGCGGCCAAGTCCCCGAGGCACCGCAGTTCTCGGAGGCCACGCCAAGTGGCACAGGTGACCAAGCGTCTGGGAGATCAGAAACAGCCTTTGGCAGGGGAAGCAGGGAGGGAGGAGTTGCAGATACCACCCCACCATGCAGGGGAAGGGAGGCCACTGGGTGAGCACACTGAGACCTACAGGGAAAGTGAAACGCTGCCTTCTCTCCCTTCGCCATCACCCATGGAGGTACCTGACACCTCTGCACCCAGTTAAGAACAGCAGCGGCCTCATCTGTGGAAGTCCTACTGCGTGCCGCCACCATACCGGGGCGGGGCCCCGGCCGTATGCAGTAACCCTCACAACAGCCATTACTGGGCCCATTCATAAAGGAGAACACTGAGCTGAAGAGGCTGGGAAACTTGGCCAAGAAGGCACTCCCAGCCGTGGCAAGAAGAGTCAAACCTGGGTCTTCGGCCACCACCTCGGCTGTCTCTCTAGGGCCATCCAGCCTGCAGCCCCTCTCCTCCCTCTCCCAGCCTGCAGCCATTCCAGCATGGCTAACGCAAAGCAGGACATCTTCCCAGTGGTCCAGGTCATGACCTGAACTTTCTCCCGAACGCTCTTGCTTCCTAGGAATAAAACTGTCAGTAAACTCAAGAAAACAACAGGAAATCTGACAAGTATTGCTTCAGACTGTCTTTGCCAGAGTCTCTCCTAGAAGACTTGGGAAACAAAAGAAAATTGAGGCCACGAGTGGAAACGTTTCCTTGTCTTCTGGGAAAGGAAATTTGATCTATTCCACAGGAAACGGGAGGGGGGCACAGAGATGTGTACACTCACTTGAGACAAAGAGAACGATGCCTCCCAAAACACCTCCCTGGTCCACCTTACAGAAGACATTTGTCCCTTTTTCCCTAATAAAAGACACATTCTTCAACTCGAATGCAGACACACTTCGATCAAGCTGTTCTCCATATATCTGTACACCTTCCAAATAACAGGATATGTTATCTTGATGGATCCTAGAAACGTAACAAATGGTGACGTTGGAGCCTTCTTCCACCAGCTTATCTTTAGGGAAAACAAACAATGGATCATGTCCAAGCATATTCTGTGCTGCAAGATAAAAGAAGACAGCTCAGTTAGACTTGGACACAAAAGTCAAACCAGCCCCCTCCTGCCTCACTCTCAACAGATAACTTTAGCTTTTTCTGCCTCCTGGAGAAAACAGGAACCTAAAATTTCTACAGCAAATCTATAAACTTTGGTGTGTGCAAAACAATCCTCTGTACCATCACTCCCACTGTCGCGATAATACCACTGCTCTTGTTCTTACTATGTAGACTGCACCATGACTGTCGCTCTGTGGATGATCGTGTCATTCCTGCTTATAGGTTATTAGGACAGCAGTAGCTGCTCTGTACTAATCCCAGCCATGTGGGAGGCCCTGTGTTAAGTGCTTATGTATATTCTCTCTTGTCATCCTTACCACCTTACAGCAATGGGGTGGGCAGGACTGAGCCCAAGTTCACTCACCCAGCAAGTGGCAAAGCCACATTCACACCCACCAGGTCTGCCCAGCTCCCAAGCCACGTGTCCCTCATAATCTCTAAATTGTCCTGTAGATCACGCCTCTTCCACCTTCTCAGATGCCATTCACCCAAAGAGCTCCTTTCATTTCCATCTTCCGTCTGTGTGGCCCATCAGCACATAAGAATCCTCAGGTCTCTGTCATTTTAGGCAAGCTCACCATCCTCCATGCCTCCCTCCAGCCTCCTCTCCACCCGCTCCTCCACAGTCAGCCTCCCCCAGGACCTGCCTGTGCCCATCGCTCAGCTGTCAATCACCCCCTGCTCAGCTAGGCCCCTGCAGTCTGGCTGCTGGCCCACCAGGGCTCTCTAAAATTGCCATCACTAAGGTCACCCAAGTGGAGTGGCCTGGGTGTGGGATTTTGTTTTAAGGTCCCCAGGTGATTCTATGTGCAGCCATGGTTGAGAATCAGTGCTTTGGGGATTAGGAATAATCAGCCTTGAAAGAAATCAAAGAAGAACATGAAAAGATGGAAAGATATATCCTGTCTTGGATTGGAAGAATCAATATTGTCAAAGTGACTATACTACCCAAGGTAATCTACAATCCCTATCAAATTACCAATGACATTTTTCATAGAACTAGAACAAAAAATTTGTATGGCTACACGAAAGACCCCAAATAGCCAAAGCAATCTTGAGAAAGAAAAATGGAGCTGGAGGAATCAGGCTCCCTGACTTCAGACTGTACTACAAAGCTACAGTCATCAAAACAGTATGGTACTGGCAGAAAAAACAGAAATATAGATCAATGGAAAGGGATAGAAAGCCCAGAGATAAACCCACACCTATAGTCACTTATTCTATGACAAAGGAGGCAAGAATATACAACAGAGAAAAGACAGTCTCTTCAATAAATGGTGCTGGGAAAACTGGAGAGCTACAGGTAATAAAATGAAATTAGAACATTCTCTAACACCATACACAAAAATAAGCTCAAAATGAATTAAAGACCTAAATGTGAGACCAGATACTATAAAACTCCTAGAGGGAAACATAGGCAAGACACGCTTTGACATAAATCACAGCACTATCTTTTTTGGTTTCACTCCTAGAGTAATGAAAATAAAAACAAAAATAAACAAGTGGTACCTAATTAAAGTTAAAAGCTTTTGCACAGCAAAGGAAACCATAAACAAAATGAAAAAACAGCCCTCATAATGGGAGAAAATATTTGCAAATGAAGCAACCAACAAGGGATTAATTTCTAAATATACAAACAGTTCATGCAGCTCAATATCAAAAAAACAAACAACCCAATCAAAAAATGGACAGAAGACCTAAATAGACATTTCTCCAAAGAAGACATACAGAGGGCCCAAAAAGCACATGAAAAAATGTTCAATATCACTAATCATTTTAGAAATGCAAATCAAAATGACAATGAGGTATCACCTCACACTGGTCAGAATGGCCATCAAAAAGTCTACAAACAATAAACGCTGGAGGGGGTGTGGAGAAATAGGAATGTTCCTACATTGTTGGTGGGAATGTAAATTGGTATAGCCACTATGGAGAACAGTATGGAAGTTCCTTAAAAAACTAAAAATAGAGCTACCATATGATCCTACAATCCCCCTCCTGGGCATATATCCAGAGAAAACCATAATTTGAGATACATGCACTCCAATGTTCATTGCAGCACTATTTACAATAGCCAGGACATGGAAGTAACCTAAAAGTCCACTGACAGATAAATGGATAAAGAAGATGTGATACATATATGCAATGGAATAGTACTCAGCCATAAAAAAAGAATGAAATAATGCCATTTGTAGCAACATGGATGAACCTAGAGATTATCATACTGAGTGAAGTAAACCAGACAGGGAAAGACAAATAACATATGATAGCACATATATGTGGAATCTAAAAGAAAAAAAAAGACACAAATGAACTTATTTCCAAAACAGAAAGAGACCCACAGATACAGAAAATAAAAACTTATGATTACCAAAGTGGAAAGGAGGGTGGGGGGAAGGGATAAATTAGGAGTTTGGAATTAACATATAAACACTACTATGTATAAAATAGATAACCAACAAGGACCTACTGTATAGCACAGGGAACTATACTCAATATTATGTAATAACCTATAAGGGAAAAAAATCTGAAAAAAAAATGTATAACTGAGTCACTGTGCTGTACACCCAAAACTTACAGGATATTGTAAATCAACTATACTTCAATAAAAAAAATTTTTTAAAGGAATAATCAGCTTTTCTTGAGTTAGTTTGGAGGTTATAGTTTTGATAAACCTAGTCCACTGTACGAAAGTTGTTGATAATGTTGTTCTTTCTTTCTCTATTGCTACCTTTTTAATCTCTATTTTTTCTGTTAAGTGTGTCTCTCAGCAATAGGATGTGATGGTTAAGAGAATGGCCTCTGGAGCCAGATTGTCCAGGTTAGAATTCTGGCTCTACCACTTTGTAGCCTGATGACTCTGCATGGGATTTTTTTTTTTTTTTTTTTGCGGTACGCGGGCCTCTCACCGCCGTGGCCCCTCCCACAGCGGAGCACAGGCTCCGGACGCGCAGGCCCAGCGGCCATGGCCCACGGGCCCAGCGGCTCCGCGGCACGCGGGATCCTCCCGGACTGGGGCACGAACCCACGTCCCCTGCAACGGCAGGCGGACTCTCAACCACTGCGCCACCAGGGAAGCCCTGCATGGGATTTTTTTAAAGCTATCTGTGCCTCAGTCTCCTCATCTGTGAAGTAGGGATAAGAATTATATGTATTTCATAGGGCTGATGTGAAGATGAAATTAATACATATAGTGCCGAAAGCAGTGACTAGAATGCAGATTTGATTCTATTATTAGTATTAAATTAATCACTGGGCCTCTCATGAGTTAACATGCTATCAGTTTGAATGAATAAATTTGCATAAACACTTAGCTAAGGAATGGTTCTCTTGACAGGAATTTCAGATAATCTGTCAACGTATATAGTTGAGAGCACCAAAAATCAGTGCTTTACAACTAACCTGTAGCTTAGCTGAAGCATAAGAAATTGTGCAAAATGCTAAATTTTAATAACAAAATAATCAAAATTAAGAGACCTTTTAGTAATTAAACATAATTATCCATGATTTCTCTCATAATTATCCATGATCTCAAATGAAGAACTGCTTCCAGTTTTCCATATTTCCCTCCCTTGTCTCTACATTAGGGGTTGACAAGCTATGGCCCATGGGCCAATTCCAGACACCATCTGTTTTTGTAAATAAAGTTTTATTGGAACACAACCACTCATTTATTTACACTCTGCCTATGACTGCTCCCATGCTACAATGGCAGAGTTGAATAGTCATGACAGAGAATGTAGGGTTGTAAAACCTAAAGTATTTCCTATCTTGCCCTTTACAGAAAAAGCTTCCCAAATTCTGCTCTAGATGAATACACGTTTTGTGTTGTTCTAATAAAAACATATGTACAATTTATGTCCTGTTTTGTTCACTTAGCATTCTATAATATACACACTTCACACCTATGGAAAATGAATACTAAATTGTCTGAATTTGCATAATTACCTCAATGAATAAATTCAGAGGGAAAATCCTTAGACCTCTGTCTCCTGGTGGCAAGTTTCACACCTATGCTTTTTAGACCCAATAGGAGCCAAAGAAAAATAATGCTGGTGTCTACCCAGAGTTTCTCAACAGGGACTTCCACTATTTGACTACTGGTCCCCGAGAAATATTAGATAGTAAACCCCTTCACTCTTTTATCACCTCACTTCTTACCATCTGCTTCCTCCCATGAACTCCAGTTGCTCCAGAACCCTGGCTTGGGAATCCTGGCGTCATCCACCATACTCCTCATTCTTATAAAGTGTGCCGCGCATTCCAGAGGGAGCTCGGATTCCCAGCTCCAATGCAGGACTTGGTTCCGCTTCACAGTGGTGCTGTAGTTCTCCTAGAAATAAAGAGAAAAACTTGGAAACATATAGCCGTGTGGTCCTGGGAAATGGCTTGGCTGGACTTATCCCAAAGCACACACCTAAGAGTCCACTGTAACTCCAGGATATGGACAAATGCAGTCCGTTCTCAGCCAGCCAGCTTCCGAGCTCTGACGGCCCAGCAAGGAACCAGCCTTGGCCTCTTGCCTTTCGAAAACTTGGCTCCCAGCCCCTCTGGGCCTCCAATTCCAGAGGGCTCAAGTGAGAGAGAAAACAGAAGCTACTGGAGTCTTGGGGGAAAAGATCAGAGAAAGAAGGTGTGCACACAGTGCTGGTCACAAGAGCGTGCTAAGAAGATTCTTGCACACTAGAGAATTAATTGAGGCACCCTTTTAAAAATAAGCAAGATTGATGAGAATTTTCTAATATTCATCAGATTAAGTTGGCCAAATCTCAGTAGTGGCAGTCCTTCATGGTTCCCAGGAATTCCACTGTCTCCCAGAAGTCAACAGATGGCTCCCAATGATTGCTTTGGTTTTTGTTTCTTGTCTTTTCAGATACGGTGGCCACATGGACCATCGCCCCTCCCTTGAGCGCTAACCTTCAGAATCTTTAGTCCCCAGAGATGTCAACCTCATGGGAACGTCCTACACTGTGCTCTTGGGAAGCTTGTCCAAGTTGTACTGTAATTTGCTTTTCCCACACAGCGTTTAGTCTTAATCTTTCTAAGACAGTGGTATTTTCATTCTTTAACGCAATAAACTTCAACAGCTCCTTCTACACCTGACCCTGTCGTCCAAGGCCATTTACAGTATGACTCCAACTGCCTCTCCCTTGCAGGACTCCTGTCTCCAGACACAGTGGTCCGCCCCACACTTCGGGAAGAGCTGTATGCTTTACTCCACAGTACTTGCTCACGCGGCGTTCCGGGTTTCGCATCCCCAACTCTCCCTCTGAATTGGGAATTAGTCCCAACCTTCAAGCCCCTGTTATACCCCATCTTCTTCATGAAGTCTTTCTTGCTCTTTCCTCTGGTTTCCTCCCATCCCCACCTCTGCCTGAGCTCCCCTGCATACTGGGGGTAGTTGGTGGCATTTCATCTGTGGTTATGCCTCTGGCTCAAGTATGGCACCCAGAAAGCGGGGACTGGGCTTCATTCTTCTTCGTGGACCATAGCTCCAGGCACCCATGCTTTCAGTGGGCCCCTCAGGACGCCTGCTTTCTGCACCCACAGCTGGGAGACAGGGACAACAAAAATCTTGCCTTTCCTGTGGAAAACTGAGTCTGCATCCATTTTTCTAAGGGCCAATGGCAAGTCCTACAGTGAAGACGAGGGGGGCGGCACACATATCACACGCAACCAGACTCGGAGGCCTTCCTCCACCTGTGCCTTCCCCTCCCCAGGCCGCCAACCTTAAACAGTGGCCTTGGCCGAACCAAACACAGCCCCGGAAGGAGAAGCACTTCGTCCACCTGAAAGGCATCTAGTCATGCACGTCCTTTCTCATGCTAAGCAGAACTCCCATTTGTAAAACATTTATATTATTTCGGTTTATTGTATTCCTTTATCCCTAGATTACAAAACATACTTTTTTTTGGCGGTACGCGGGCCTCTCACTGTTGTGGCCTCTCCCGTTGCAGAGCACAGGCTCCGGACGCGCAGGCTCAGCGGCCATGGCTCATGGGCCCAGCTGCTCCGCGGCATGTGGGATCTTCCCGGACCGGGGCACGAACCCGTGTCCGCTGCATCGGCAGGCGGACTCCCAACCACTGCGCCACCAGGGAAGCCCCAAAACATACATTTTTAACTACAAGTTCTGTGGTCCTGATCCATGCAACACTTACTATTTAATACGAGCGATCACAGGTACCTTTTAATTATTATTTAAGAACCAATACCAAAATAAATAAATAAAAGGAACTCTGTCAGTCCCGGTGACCTCGCTGTAATGTCAACAAGCCGCCGGCTGGATTTTGCCTCCCCCATCTCTTGGGAATTCGGCCACTTCTCTTGTCACCACGGTCACCACCCACTCCAGGCCCCTCTCCTCTGGACCGACCCCACTGCTTGCTTCCATTCCAACTGGTCACACTTCACCTCCTCCAGTTCTCCCAACTTCTCTCCACTGTGTGGCCGGAGTGAGCTTTCTTTAAGACTTCCAATCAGAGCTCATCACTCTGCTTCTCACCGCTCCCTAGATATAAAACAGCATCTGGGCACGACCCTCGGTGTGTGTGTGGTCTAGCCCTGTCCTGCCCACCCCACATGCCCCGCGCTTTCAGGCCTGAAGGCTCCCAGCCCCTTTCACTCAGGACCTCTGCTCACCCCAGCTGGATCTTCCTGGGACATTCCTCCTCACCCTCCATGCTAAATTAGCTTCTAATCTTCTTTCCTATTTTGGCTCCAACTGCCCTTCCTCCAAGGTGCTGGAGAAGGTCAGGCCTAATCTCACCCCACAGCCCCGTGTCAGCGACCTGCACTCCTCACGCCTGGGATACTCTGAATTGTGTGATCATCTCCTTATTTTTGCTCAGCACTCACAGCCCCATGCCTGGAATAATGCCTGGACCTGAGCCCACAGTCTAAAACTCTGTGCTGAAGGATTTCATCCGTTCATTACTATGCAGTGAGCTCTGTTTTTCCCAGACACTCTCTGTGTGGATTCCGTCTAACCACAAGTTGTGCTTTGTGGTCTTTATAGGCCCATTGTGGAGGAGATAAAACTTTTCGTTGAATGCATCAATTCAGCAACTTTTAAAAATGTGATGACTGTGTCTGGGCTGTTTTCATTCATCCAAGTGGCAAGTTTAATTGGGCCCTGGCAGACATTAGTATGTTACAAAAACCTGGCATTTACACAGAAGTCCAACTGAGATCACTGATTCATTCCTGAGAAGTGAGCTCATCCCTCACTGACTCGCACTCCAAGCCTCCTTCCAAGCTTGAGCTGCTACTCTACTCTGCCTTCTCCTGCCATTGACGGAACCATAAAGCAAGCGGCTGGAGAGGCTGCGGGCAGAACCCTGGCCAGGGTGAGCACGTAGTGCAGCCTGAGTGGCCAGCGCCGGCCAGGAGGCAGCTCAGAGTCCCTGGTCCAGCTGTGACAGCCTCGGTCAACATGCTTTTCCTGTGGCTTGTTTGGGAACAAAACAGTCTGAGGCATGAGTGAGGGTGCATTACAGGGACCTGCCCTATGAAAGGGAGATCACGGTCCAGACGGAAGCGACCTCTCTCAGCTGCTTTGTCTGACCCTTAACTGGAGGGGGACCTTATGTCTGTCCTTGACTTCAGGCCTGCGAGGTTCAGACAAGGGCTTCTCTTGGCATCGTCTGTTCTGGGACACGTGGAGACTGATGACCTGGGAAGACTGCATGCGGCTGTCACCCCTGTGGGGGGCCCGGGGCTCCAGCCAGAAACAGAGCTGCCTTGAGAGGGGCAGTTCCCTCCTCTGGGTGTGGCAGGTCCTCCACCACCCAACCCCAGCAGGAAAAGGGAGAGTTCTGTGTGGACACGGTCAGGGTGAGGCCGTCTCAGTTTTTCTTAAATTGTCCTCTTAGCGTTGTTCTGTTTGTCCTGGACTTTCTCAACTGTGCTGTAAACAATTCAAAGTCAAAGGTGTTTTTTCTTTTCCTGTTCCTGACATCTGGCATAGGCAGGTATGATCATCTTTTGTCAAATGAATAAATGACAGGAAAAAGAAGAAAAAAAAAAAAGCAGCACCACAAACCTCTCTGTGCCTTAGTTTTCTCCTCTGTTGGGATCAGGCTGGCCTGGGTGTTATGGGGACCGTATAACCGACAACGCAAAACTCTACCCTCAAACATCTCCAGCCTTGGTAGGTTACACAAGGTTTCACCAGCGGCTTTACCTTGAAAAGAGAACTACCTGAATCAAAGGCGTAAACAGATACGAACAACTGTCTGTTCACATGTTGTTATTTTCTCTACTATGAAAGCAGAAAGAAGTGTCTTTTAGAAAAATAAAGAATGGGATCAACTTGGTCTATGGTTAATGTTACTTTCGCTAATGGTGTTAAGTGCTAGTTTTCCACGAATTCCTCCAGCTCTTCTCTCAAATTTCTTTTTCTTAGATAATTCTTAGCCTCAATATGACCTCTGCTCGATGTTGTACTGGGTCCAAATCAACAACCAGTGTATCCATCAACAATACAAAAAATAGGAAAATACAAAAATTATTAGCATGAGGGGGATGGTGGGAAGATGGGCTGGCGGCGGGGAGGGAACAGCTGTACATAAGCGTTGCTGTTGTTTAAAGTCAGAACACCAGGGAACACAATGCAAGTGCTTCTTGGATCTGTGTCTCCTGGCCTGCAGAACTAACAATAATAAACTAAGTTTGGCCTCAAAAAAAAAAAAAAAAAACCCAACACCGAACAACTCTCATGGTGGGAGGCTGCCCTTTGAGGGGTGGAATTCTAGACCTGGTATCAATCCTAAATCAACAGTCAGAATGATATTTAACTTAGGCCACTCACTCAGATCTCAAATGCAGTGATGGATAAGGAAAGTAACTGGAGCCTTTAAAGCTAGTAGCCTTTATGCTTCGCTAAAGGAACTAACCACCTGGCTCCCTGTACTCACGCCTCCAGCACCTGAGAGGAGAGTGGCCGTCCACTAGCAAACGGAGGTCCCCAGTAATGACACAGCACTGTGTTGCCCTTCCCTCCAACGCAAATTCTCTGTTCCCTTCAGTGGGAAAATATCTCACTGTCCTTCAACATCCCATGCTAATAAATGATCATGATGTGGGCATAGATTATTAAGGTTCCCCGCACCATAAATGGTAATTGAAAGAAACTACCAAAGTTTGTAAAGCAATTATACTCCAATATAGATGTTAGGAAAAATAAATAAATCAACTACCAAAGTGCCCCAATGCACTAGATGGGGAAGCATCACGCAAAACAGACACAACCATGATTTAAACCAGACAAGTGAAAAATGGATCCCAAATAATTCAAAGGCAAAAAGTGTGTGAAATTCAGGACTTTCTTAATTTAATTTGTGGTAGAAAAAGCCACATATGAGGCAACAAAGGACACTGTAAGTTACTCTCCAACATGGCCCATGGAGAACCTCTTCGCTGATTAGGGCAGAAAATGCTAGAATGGTTTATTCCTTGCATCTCAGCATAGCATTAGTAAAGAAACAGCCTGCGAGCCACAGGGGCATGAAAAATGTTGCCAAACTCTTACATCTGATTTAGGAAGATCTCTGGTGGACAGGGAAGGAAGAAGGAGGAGGAATAAGGTGATTGATCTTCATGGATTTTTGGAATCCAGTATTCACAAGGACAGACCCCAACAGCTTCCACAGGGAACAGAGCAGAACTGAGAAAATGATCTGATACGTAGCACAGCCCATCCAACCTACCAAACCAATATTGTCATGTTATTTTGTCCGGAACCCTCTTTTTTTTTTTTTTTTTTGCGGTACGCGGGCCTCTCACTGTTGTGGCCTCTCCCTTTGCGGAGCACAGGCTCCGGACGCGCAGGCTCAGCGGCCATGGCTGACGGGCCCAGCCGCTCCGCGGTGTGTGGGATCTTCCCAGACCAGGGCACGAACCCGTGTTCCCTAGCATCAGCAGGCAGACTCTCAACCACTGCGCCACCAGGGAAGCCCTGTCCGGGACCCTCTTAACTAAAAACACAGAAATGTGATTATTTAGGACACCTATTCTGAGTTGCCCAAATATTTCCATATTGGGATTTGGGGGGATGTTATAAAAGATAAAACACAGTGTCAGAAAAGGATTTTTAAAATATTGAGCGAAAAAGAAAAATACTTACCACCCAGATGACATTGGATGTTTTAAATCTACTGATCTGTATCTGAAAAACCATTTTCAATTCCTGATGATAAGCGAGGCTGTGGACAGTCCATTGTAAATGCAAACACTGACACGTAGAATTGACAGAAACTTTCAGCGATTCAGGAGTTAATGGTAAAGGTTCAGATAAGACTGAAAGGCCAAAACAAGATATGAAATAACATTTAATAGGAGTATGATTGAATAGTCACAGATAATTAAACTGTTCAATATCATCATTGTTTAGCTGTGGAAATTATTGCTCACATATACATTCTAGAATTAGACACTTTGAAAACCTGGAGGGAATTCAGAAATCACTCAGCAGATAAAGAATTTAAGACCTAGATGAATGAAATGACTTGCTCAATGATACACAGCAAGTTAATAAATTGATAAACAGTTTCACAAGACAAAAGAATGCTCTATTGAACAATCTAAATGGTTCAGAAATTTGTAATAAGGTTGAATAAAGAAAGAGGACATTTTGCTATAAATTTCATTTCAAGAGGACTTTTTGCTATAAATAAAGAAAGAGGACTTTTTGCTATAAATTTGCTATAAGAGGACATCTAAAATGAAAGTTTTCTTTTTGGAAGTCAGTATTTCATAGTTTATTAAGTAGCTATAAAGTGACAGCAAGTTCCATCTCTAGATATTATTGCTTAAATCTCCATGCACTGAACTTAAAACACCTCTGGCAAGAATTCACTGGACTCTTCGTTTGAGACTAGGCACTTAGTGTGAAATAAAATAATTGTGACAAGGTTTCTAGCTCAAGGAAGTAACCTAGCTGGAGAGATACAACAGACTCGTAAGAAGTAATGAGTCATTGCAAGTTTAGAATATTTAGTGGTGTGATAGAGTCTGTCAAAGAGTAGAGATTCAAACACGAAACAGATTTGCTGAGGTCAGTGAGCTAGGAAACAGCCCAGAGAGAGGATGGGGCCTGATGGAGCGAGTGAGATCACTGCTAATTCTTGGAGAAGAACAAAGCACCACTTTTTCTATAAGCAGAGGAAATGCCGTACAGATTCCAAAGGAATTGTGTATTGCCGAATCGACTGGTTTCACTCCCTTCTGAGGGAGTCTAAAGTAAACTGGGAATGGTGCAAAGGTACTGAAAAGATTAAGACTGTAGAGAAAAAACAACTGATAATTGATGGTCCACGGTGGAGCAGATTTCATCTTTTCAGCACTCATTTTTCTAGTTCTTTGGGGGTTTCCCCTAGTGATCTGAGACCCTCTGGCACCTAGTTTAAAAGGCAAGAGAGTATGTTCTTTTGAGAATAAAAATGCAAAGAATCTCTAATACTGGAAAAAAATGTTCCAAAACTGCCATTCTACATGTGCTATTTTTCTCACAGAGAGGTAAAAATAACAGCGACAAGATTGAACACGTACTATTTACCAGGCACAGTGCTAGGTGCTTTACATACGTTGTCTCGTGTAATGCCCACTGTAAAACTCAGACAGTAATTTTTTATAGATGGGGAAACTAAAGTTCAGTAAGCTTAAATGATTTACACAAAGCTATATGGGATTTAAGTATAGATCTCTCTAATACCAAAACCTTGCTCCCCTTTATTGCACTGCCCGCCAACTGTTAAGGCAGGAGCATCCTGCCCAATCAAAGGTCACATGGAATGGAATGTCTGAGAAGTATGCTGCATGGCTCCCACCATGTCCTGCCAAACTCAGGGTACAAATGAAAAGGACGGGGCTCTGGACCCAGCCAGATAAGCTGAGAAGCATTCCTGGTAGATATAAGCATGAAGTTTTTCATGTGAATGGTCCACATGGTAGACAGGTTCACGATCCAAGTAAAGCATTAGCCTCAGAATTTATTTGAAAAAATCTCAGAAAATTCATTCTGTGGAAGTTAGGTTAACAAGAGTGTCCATAAAATCCAAGTTATTAGCCATCAATGAGTATCTTCCCAAAAAGATACCCATCCTTTGTAATATTTTGTAAATGCGGTGCTGGGGATGGCTAGAGTACCAATTAAAATCTCAGTATGGACTCCCATGACCTTGGATTTGGCAGTGGGTCCTTAGATATGACATGAAAGCATGAGCCAAAAAAGAAAAAAATAGATCAATGGAACTCCATCAAAATTAAAAACTTTTGTGCATCAAAGGACCTTGTCAAGAAAGAGAAAAAAATCTAAGAATGGGAGAAAATATTTGCAAATCACTTATCTAGCATCCAGAATATATAAAGAACTCTTACAACTCAACAACTAAAAGACAAACAACTCAGTTTAAAAAATGGGCAAATGACTTGAATGGGCATTTCTCCAAAGAAGATGTACAAATGATGAAAAAGCACATGAAAAGATGCTCAACATCATTAGTCATTAAGGAAACGCAAATCAAAACCATAATGAGATACTATCTTACACTCACAGGATGGCTATAATTTTAAAAATGGAAATAAGCATTGCGAGGATATTGAGAAATTAGAACCTTTGTACATTGCTAGTGGGGACGTAAAATGGCTTTAGCACCGTAGAAAACATTTTGGAAGTTCCTCAAAGAGTTAAAATCACCATATGACCCAACAATTCCATTCCTACGTATATATCCCAAAGAATTGAAAGTAGAGGCTCAAATACTCGTACACAAATGTTTGTAGCAGCACTATTCACAACAGCCAAACGGTGGCAGCAACCCAAATGTCCATCAGCAGATGACTGGATGAACAAAATGTGGTATATCCATTCGATGGAATAAGGAATGATGCTACAAATTAGGCAAACCTTGAAAACATTACACTAAGTGAAAGAAGCCAGATATAAAAGGTCTCATACACATAGTATGATTCAATTCATATGAAATATTCAGAATAGATAAATCCATAGAGAGATAAAGCAGACTGGTGGTTGCCAGGGGCTGAGGGAGGGAGGAATAGGGGATAATTGCTTAATGATTACAGGCTTTCCTTTGCGGATAATAAAAACGTTTGGAACTATATAGAGGTGGTAATTGCAAAACATATTCAACGTATTAACTGTCACTGATTTGTCCACTTTAACCATAAACTGATTAATTTTGTTACATGAATTTCACCTCAATAAAAATTATTTTTAAAATATACATGATCATGATAAAAATGTTCAAATAATACAGAAATTGAATCCCCAGCATCCTACCAACTCCACTCTCACTCCATTGCCAAGTTCAAATCATGTATGTTTTGCTTGACTTTTTTCCATACACTTAAAAAAATCATATTGAACTATGCACTCCATTTTATATTTTTTAAAGTACTTACACTATTTTTAAAAAGCTATAAAGAGAAGTAAAACTAAAATGTTAACAGTCATTTCTGGATGGTGAGGTTGAGTGATTTTAACTTTCCTTTTTATGCTTTTCTGTACTTCGCGAATGTTCTTTAGAAAACACGTATTACTTTCAGAACCATATAATATGCTAGATATATATTTTTTTTTTTTTGCGGTACGCGGGCCTCTCATTGTTGTGGCCTCTCCCATTGCTGAGCACAGGCTCTGGACGCGCAGGCTCAGCGGCCATGGCTCACGGGCCCAGCCGCTCCACGGCACATGGGATCTTCCCGGACCGGGGCACGAACCCGTGTCCCCTGCATCGGCAGATGGACTCTCAACCACTGCGCCACCAAGGAAGCCCTAGATTTTTTTTTAACATCTTTATTGGAGTATAATTGCTTTACAATGGTGTGTTAGTTTCTGCTGTATAACAAAGTGAATCAGCTATACGTATACATATATCCCCATATCTCCTCCCTCTTGCGTCTCCCTCCCACCCTCCCTATCCCACTCACAAAGCACCGAGCTCATCTCCCTGTGCTACGCAGCTGCTTCCCACTAGCTCTCTATTTTACATTTGGTAGTGTATATATGTCCATGACACTCTCTCACTTCGTCCCAGCTTACCCTTCCCCCTCCCCACGTCCTCAAGTCCATTCTCTACCTTTGCATCTTTATTCCTGTCCTGCCCCTAGGTTCTTCAGAAGCTCTTTTATAGATTCCATATGTATGTTAGCATATGGTATTTGTTTTTCTCTTTCTGACTTACTTCACTCTGTATGACACACTCTAGGTCCATCCATCTCACTACAAATAACTCGATTTCGTTTCTTTTTATGGCTGAGTAATATTCTGTTGTATATATGTGCCACATCTTCTTTATCCATTCATCTGTTGATGGACACTTAGGTTGCTTCCATGTCCTGGCTATTGCAAATAGTGCTGCAATGAACATTGTGGTCCATGAGTCTTTTTGAATTATGGTTTTCTCTGGGTATATGCCCAGTAGTGGGATTGCTGGGTCATATGGTAATTCTATTTTTAGTTTTTTAAGGAAGCTCCATACTGTTCTCCATAGTGGCTGTATCAATTTACATTCCCACCAACAGTGCAGGAGGGTTCCCTTTTCTCCACACCCTCTCCAGCATTTATTGTTTGTAGACTTTTTGATGATGGCCATTCTGACCTGTGTGAAGTGATACCTCATTGTAGTTTTGATTTGCATTTCTCTGATAATTAGTGATGTTGAGCATCGTTTTGTGAGTTTGATGGCAATCTGTATATCTTCTTTGGAGAAATGTTTATTTAGATCTTCTGCCCATTTTTGGATTGGGTTGTTTGTTTTTTATATTGAGCTTAATATGCTAGATTTTAAAAGAAATATTAAGATACCTGGTTCACTTCACTACAATGACACTGCAGAATGCATAATTTAGTCTTCTAAATTTACACCAAAAGGCTGAGCCCCAGTTATCTTTCCAGTTTTATTCCCCACTGAAAGTTAATGAATTGGCATTCTGATTCTTAACAAGTTTGGGCAGAGTGAATCATGTATCAGGCCCTATTCACTCAAAGGTAAATGAAGTAAGTTGGAATTCCTGAATGCTCAAAGCCCAAACATGGTGGTCATATTCTATTGTTATTTGGCTAGAGGTTTTATCTCCTTTGTGAATAAAATGTCTCAATTCTCTAGTTAGAGGCAACAGCTGTTATTCATTCTCTCCCTAAACCTGTGTCTTCCAAGCCTAATACAGTGAACTAGAGGGAGATGGGGAGAGATGAAAGGGCAGATCCCTTACGGAACGGGGGAAGTTGTTTTAGTAGCCGTGGAGCCATCAGCACCAGGAAAGCAGGGTGTATGCAAAGTCACCCCACCTTTCCTAGCCCTCATTTCATCTTGCCTGTATGGTCGTTCGTTGCTGTCAGTCTCACTCTAGATTCAAATTTCCTGCAGGACAGAGGCGGAGGCTTATGCACCTTTGAACGAACTCTTGTCCCCAGAACTTGGCATGACGTCTTACCCACAGCAGATGCGGATCTCAAATGACAGATCCAGCATCACCATATATCAAGTGCCTGCCTGACAAGCAGCCCCTCACTAATAATTCGTCCTTCCTGGCACTCTCTTCTCCCCAGGGCTGCTTTTCCCACCCAGCGTGTGAGCCCTGATCTCAGCGTGCTGTCATAGCCTGTTCTGTGTTTGTCTCTCCGCAGACTGTGAGCTGAACACGGGTGGGACTGAGTCTTACTCAGCACACTGGAACCAAGACCGTAACGCACCTCCCACGGTATAGACACTTCATGGCTGGTTGCTGAATGAGTGAGTCACCTACAAGTATCAACTTTACTTCTGGAAGCTCTAGAAGGCTGCCATATGACGCTTTAGACAAAAGGGGAATTCTTTATATTGACATATGCTCTTGGTGAGTGTTGAGTGACTCAGGTACTCGAGAGACAGCAGTCAGAAATAACTGGGTGGAAAGCAATCTAGGACATCCTTGGGCAATAGCAGGAAATGCCAAGGGAAAGTCAGAGAGATAAAGGAAATTGAGGATGAGGAAATTGAAACTAAGAAAAGGGGAGTGACTTTCCCAAGGCCACACAACCCAACCAGAACCCAGGGCTCTTGGCCCAACTCTTTAATTTATAACGCTGTACCGGCGTGTGGCCAAAAAGGGCAGGCTTGGAAGCAGACAGACCTAGATCTAGTCACAGACTGTCCTCCTATTTTCCCCAACCTGTTTCTCTGTCTGGTCCCAACAACACTACTTAAGGAAATAAACCGTGGCCCATTCGTAAGGTGGGATACCATGCAGCCATTAAATATAATGTTATTTCTAGAAAAACTTTTAACATCAAAGGTAAAAACTCTCATCATATATTGTATTAATTATTTTGATAAGTATATACGAAAGTAAACTTATTAAAGTATATATACTTCACTTTAATAATTTACCTGTATACACTTTAATAAGTGTATATAGTATAACTTCCTAGTATATATATTTATATTACATATAATATATATACTTTATACTATATATACTGTAATAACCATATATACTCTACACTAGTTATACTTCAATAAGTATACTTTATATATAAACTTTATACTATATACACTTATTAAAGTATGTATAGTATAAATACTCCCAGTGTACATATAGTATAATTTTACCTCTATAAAAAAAACCCTACACATTTATATCTCTTTCTCTGTCTGTGCATACATACGCACAAGAGACTGGAAGAAAATACATCCAAATGCTAGTCATGATCTCTGGCTGATGGAGAGTGAGCCCAGGGCCAACAGGAAGTGAGCCTGGGCTCTGTCTCATTGGACAGGAGAAGCTAGGTTACCTGAAAGGGAGTCTCAGGCCTGAGCCTGGCTGAGTGATTGAGTGAGAAGCCCAGTGGTTTGAGTGGACATTTAGTAGGTACTGGGTCAGATGCAGCAGAAATCGAGACAAGAAATCCAAGCAGTTAAGGTGAGGACAAAGCAGGATCACTTCGCAAAGCGGGTATGCTTAGCTGAGAAAGCTGGAAGCAGAAACAAAGACTGGTGGAGAGAAAAACAGGTAAATGCAAGTCTGATCTAAATAAAGGAAGCTGAAAGGGTGAGCAACAGAGCTTGCCCTGAGAGCAGAGTCCCTTGTAAGTAGAAGGCTCACAGTAAACACTTGTCAGATCAGATATGGAGACTTCACTAGGGAAGTGAGCTGGGCCAAAAGCTTAGGGTTAAACACCTGGGTTAAACACCTGGATTCTCTGGAGAGCCTGGAGTTGGGGCCCTGGGTCTGTCTGGGAATCAGGAGCTCTAACTGAGCCTAGACATTCTTATGGTACAGACCACCCACTCAGCCCCAGTGTGTCATGCCTAGATTTTAGCAAGTAAGATCGATGGAGTGAGGGGTATCGATACTACAAAAGAGGAGTTCTCCTAATTTCCACCTTTCAGCTCCAGATTATGGAAGAAACCAACAATCAAACTGTGATTTTTAAGAACCCATAAAAGTAGCACCTTCTCATGTGCCCTGAACCTAATAGAAAACTAAACCCAGACCTCAAGAGTATCAGACGGAGAATTGAGCTCTTATCAGAACAGAATCTTCCTTTTATTTCCAAATAGCTTATCACAGAGTTTCAAGGGAAATGGATAACTTCTATGGATATTTCTTGCAAACATCATTTTCATGAATCCATGGACAGGAATTGTGTGAGTAATTACTAAGAGCATATGCCTGTACCCTCTGTTACAAAGGGAGTATACAGCAAAGAATAAATGCAGAAAGAGGAAAAGGTAAAGCTTTATAAAATACAGGTAAAAGCAACACAAACTTTATAAACCCATAGAAACTCTCTCAAGTTTGAATCTGTCTTCAAACTGGCTCAAAGTGATAAAATATGCATAAACATTTTAATGGTGTTGAATTCTTACTGACTTTATTTACAAAGTTGATTTATGGCCAAATACCTTCGCTGTGGGAGGAGCTAAGAGACAAATACTATTTCTTTACCCATAAACAGCATTTCAGCACTTAGCATATTATCTTGCAGGTAACAGCCTGTCAACGAACGCAGTTGTGGCACAGCCCAACTTGCTCTAACCTTGCAGCTGACACTGGACACATAACCCATCTCTACCCAGCAAGTTTAGAAGGAACTCCTCTGGCAATGGCCATGGACCATATATTGATCATGACATTCTCTGGGATTAGATTCACTGACAAGTTACCACTGACCAGGAAATCAAGGCTAAGGTATAGCTTACTCCATTGAGCAGGAAATCAAGCTTAAGGTATAGCTTACTCCACTGACCAGGAAATCAAGGTTAAGGTATAGCTTACTCCATTGACGGGGAAATCAAGGTTAAGGTATAGCTTACTAAAATGAGCCATCAAGATTAGGAAGCTCATGACTAAGGTAATCACTGCTACTTACCAATTCCAAGTAATTTTCAAAGAAAAATGACCTGTTGATTTTTCTCCAAAGTACCTGTCACCTTGTTTTTTTTCCCCTAGGTGATTTTTTTTTTTTTTTTTTACTGTTCTTTCCACTTCTTACCTTCACTTTCGTAAGTTCTCAAGGACAGCAATGCCAAGAGGAATGTTGTCTGAAAAACTGCAAAGAGAGCCATAGGTTCTGGTTTTCTGAAAAAGATAAATTGCAAAGAAGGGAAATTTTATTTAATTTTAGCTGTGAGCAAGTTTCTTTGAACCAACTGTGGAAGACGATGGCATTAAGGTTCCCGTTCTTCTCTCCCCCTTATGTCCATACCCCCGTCACTGTGAATTTGGAGTCCCCCCTCGCCCCACAATGAGGCAATTTCCCTGCTCCATCTGACTTGCTTTGGCCCGTAAATGAGGCAGAAGTGATGGTAGGCCAGCTTGGAGCCTAGGCCTCAAGAGGCTTTATGTATTTCTGCTTGCTCTTTTGTGTTTCCACCTTTGGCATGAAAAGAGCATTTCTGGGCTATTCTATTAGACCCAGGAGGAGGACAAGAAACCTGAGGCAGAGCTGAGCCCCTGAGTTGCTCCAGCAGGGGCCAGCCTCGGTCAGCCAGCAGCCGGCCACGCCCCAGCCCAGAGCAGCTGTTCCCAGATGTGCCACTGAGTCTGTGTGGCAATAGATAACGATCCACCAATCTCTTCAAACCAAGCAAAGGTTGGTGAAGAAAGATAAAGCAGAGAAACAAAAGTTAAATATTAAAAAAACAGTCACAGAAGAGCTACATTTGAATGAATTCCTCATGGGGGAGTCATCTCCACCCTGCCCTGTCTCCCTCCTTAAAATGTCACCTGAGAGAAATGAGCACTTGGCACCGAAGAAGACAGGCAGAGTTTCATTGTTCAAGATAATTTCCGGTTTTCCTTGTCTTAGAATAGGGTTGTGAACTACAGGTCAAAGAGCTTCACTGACTCATCAGGTCCTCAGACCATTGGACAATCCGAGGGCACACAGAATAAGCCTGGATGGCCTTAAGGAGGCTAATATGTTCATTTCATAAGAAACGTTTAGTCAGGGGAAGTACTGAATTTCACTTTTCTACTTCAAACTCTGACTTATCATGGAGAGAAACAAAGAAAAATTCAAAGTCATCTTTTGCCCCCATCTAGTCCCCTTGGGCTTCATCAAAAGCTCAAAATTCCATGAACCAGATCATTCATTTTCACTGCCCACACCCTCCATTTATTTCCTTTAAATGGTATTTTACAAGAAATGGGGACGACAGTGAAGACAGGAAGAGGGTAAACCAAACCATTCAATTACTTTGGGGTGGTCAAACCTGCTTACGTAGGAGCACAAGTCTTCAAGTGACAGCTTTACTTCCTGATTCTTTAAGCACTGCTTTCTGCTACTTCAATTTTTGGCAACAGGTCATCCATACCGCACTGAAGTCTCTACTGGCAACTTCAGATAGGGTCCTATTACAACTGCATATCAAAGCTGGGGGAAAACTGACTCAAGAGAAAAGATCTTCTGCTGAGAACCAAAGGGGAGGCAAAGGAAAATGGCACAGTGAATTGTCTGACACTCACTGTTCATTCAAATATCCATCCAATCCTGGTCTACGGCACAGGGTCCCATCCTCCTGGCACTTACGTCACCCAGGGAACACAGGAGCCACCACCATGAGGAGAGCTCATCCTTGCAATTCAAAAGCAGGTGATTCCAGGAAATCCAAAAAAGAGGGGATATATGTGTACATATGGCTGATTCACTTCGCTGTATAGTAGAAACTAACACAACATTGTAAAACAACTATACCCCAATTAAAAAAAAAAAAAAGCAGGTGATTCCGGGGGTGAGATGGACGCTGCCTCATGTCCTCTGCACGAAAGGGCTATTTAAGATGTTTGTAAAAAGGTGGAGTTTTAGTAAATCAAATATTTTACATGTCACAAAAATTAAACAAGTCATGGGGCAGAGAAACTTAAAACTAGAAGTTAGAGGCCACCTACCAATTAAAGGTAACCAGAAACTAAAGAATACAAGTTGTCATATAACAAAACTGAAAGATAAGAGTATTTACAAGGGATGTACTTCTAAGGTCTGAGTATCTCAGGACAGTCTTTGAGAATCACCAGGACAATCCTGTCTGAAGCCCTGCCCTTTCCCACCATCTCACATATGGCAGGTTGTGAAGCTGAGGACCTTCATTCCAGCAGGCACTTAGATTTCCTGGTTTTCCTTTCATCAGTTCTGATGGGCATGGTTTTACACATGCTGGACAGGTGGTAGCCGTGACCCAGTGGTCACTGCCTGCACAGAACAAAGTGCTTATTTCCAGTGTTGTGACCGGGCAGCCACCATGCCGATACTTCAGGCTCCAGACCACCTCAGGACCTTTTGCAGAAGGACTACGAGTCCTAGCCTTGTCTGAGATCCTAAAATCAAAACAGTTCATCAAAACCTGCAGAACAAGAGTCAGCAGATGGGAGAACCTCTCAGAGACCCCTGTGGAACCCACTTTGGGAAATGCCCTATGAACAGATTTCCTGTAGGCACAGAGCCTGATGCTGCTGGAAAAACACAGACACCAAGGGCTCTGGGCCAGCCTCTTCCAAGCCCCAGGTGACCGCTGCACAGCCCACGTGGTTCCCCTCCACGCCTCCTATGTCAATCCTCCTCGAGTTATCGGACTCTGAGTGCATCAGCTATTTCCCTGTGAGACCCCCAGTAACAGAGTGAAAAGCCTGGAGGTGAGGGAGTGACCTGTGCAGAGATCCTGAGGTGGCAAAGCGCTGGGCATATAGTCAAGGAACAACACGGAGCCGGGTGTTGGCACGGGCGAGGAGGTGAGCGACCGGGGCAATCACAGGGCATGCGGCGAGGCAGAGCAGACAGGGAAAATGCTTTAGAGACGTCGGCTTCTACTCTGAGATGGGAGCCACTGGGTAGTTTTAAACAAAGGAGTGACACGGTCTACCTTATATTGTACAGGAAGGACCCCGTATTGAAGACATTGAAGGGGGCAAGAGTAGCATGAGGGAGTGCAGGTGGAGGTCACGGCCATAGTCCAGGGGAGACTGATGCTGGCTTAGACCCGGCGGGGGGCACGGCAGTGGCCATGGGAACGGTGATGAAATGGGAGAAATTTTAAAGATAGAGCTGGCAGGGTGTGCGGGGTGGTGATAAAGTGAGACATCGTGGATGGCTCCAAGAATTTTGGCCTGAGTCCCTGGGAAAATGGAATCACCATTCATGGAGAAGCAGAAGAATGATTTAGTGGGCTGTATCAAGGACCCAACCTGCGAGATCTCAATTTGAAATGCTCACTTGATATCCAAGTGGAGATGTCAAGTAGCTAGCTGGATACATCATGTGGAGGGGCCATGGGAGGGGTCGTGGCTGGGGGTATAAATCCAGGCATGCCTGGTGCATACAAATAGTATTTAAAGCCATAGGACTGAAAGATCTCCAAGAGGGTGTACAGACAGAAAAGAGAAAGAGGTCCGAGCACATAGCTCTGGGGTGCTCTACACCCTACAGTACTCCCCCTTATGCAGATCAAAATGAAAATCCAAGATTAGGCCAGGCTTTCCCCCATCACCTCAAGGATGAGGGCTGGTGAGTCCCTCAGCACCAGGCGGCTGCTTGGCACGTTCCCCTACAGATGCTCAGGGTGCACCAAGCAGGGTTTGGTTTTTCCTCTGAAGCTCTGCTTCTGACCCGAGAGAGGCTACCCAGCTCTCCCATTCATTCAACAGGCTTTCTCTCTCCACGACCATGAGCAAGGAGCATTGCCACGTCCACTTTCCAGTAAGAAAAGGAAGTCTGGGAAGTACGAAGTGGCAGAATTCAGAAAGGAAAAATACTTTCCTGCCCCATCTGCATGACATTGTCCTTTCCCAAATCTGTTCTCTCTCTTTTTTAAAAAAATTTCCCCAGTGTTTTAAAATTGAGGTATAGTTGAGGGAATTCCCTGGCGGTCCAGTGGTTAGGACTCAGCACCCTCACTGCTGGGGCCCAGGTTCAATCCCTGGTCAGCAAACTAAGATTCCCACAAAGGTG